TCTAAAACTCAAAAAATTTTAAATAATTCCTAGAAACAAATTGAGTAACTGTAAAACATTTTATTATATTCATGATCATTTCAGCATCCTAAGATGAGTCAGCCTGGAGATGCTTTAGTAACTTCTTCACTATTATACCCCTAAACACTGGTCCCATTCCAGACATTCATCTGGAAGAGCTAAAGTAACCAAGACAAGCTTAAGCATACATATACACACATACCACAACACCTTTCAAGTATCAAAGAGAAGGAAAAACGATTGAACTGTATTATGAATATTATTAAAATAAAACTGGAACGTAAATGGAATGAAGTACCTTCTGTAGGAAAACTGACCATCAGAGTATTTTTGGATATTGTAACTTACATGATTTTCAATCAGATTTCTGATATTCTCTCTAAGGGCTCTTCCCGCCTGAGCATTGCCCACCTCATTTGAGTACAAAATGTAGATTTTCCTTTATACATTACATCCAATATATTAGGAAATGGTGTGTATCATTATACATGTCAGTTATCTTCAGTATACATGCTCAGAATCCAACCCCTTCTCCCCACCTCCACTGCTATCAGCTTCGTCCAAGTTGCCATCATTTCTTGTTTCTGTGTTCTTCAGAAGCCTTATCTCCTTTGCCTTATACATGCTCCCCTCCCCCACAGCAATTCCCAACACTATTCAGGGTAATACTTGCAAAACGGAGGTCAAATCACAGTACCTCTTTGTTTAAAACCCTGCTCTGGTTCCACGTTTTTTAGAGTGAAAGCCAGACAGAGACCTTTCTACAATGCCCAGCGTGATCTGTGCCCTTATTTCTTTTTGACCTCATTTCTCATAATTCCCTTCCTTGCTCACTGTGCTCCAGCTCCACTAGCCTCCTTACTGGTCTTTGAATACTGTATTGCTGCTTCCCTCCTTCAGGTGTTTGCCCAGAATATCTGTTTGTCTGGAACACTTTTCTGCTTCAAGTCTGCTCAGTTGTTTCAATAAGGTCTGCCTGACAACTTTATTTCAGATTGCAGCTTGCATTCTGATGCTCCTTTCCATTTTAGTTTTCTGAATTTTTTCATAGTAATTCTTATCTCCTAACAGATTACACAATTTATTTTCTTACAAGCTGCTTAGTTTCTGTACAACCCCCTAAACCATAAAAAGTTGTAGGAAGGCAGAAGTCTTTGATCTGATTCTGCTGTTTATCCCACATGCTTTAAGTGATAGCTAGCATGTAGTTAGTGCTCAGTAATTTGCTGACCGAATCTGTGCAAGGTGATAAACCTAAAGCATGTCCCCCTTGATGGGGGCCTGAAGTCAGGCTCATCTAGGAACCGGGGTCTTCGGGAGGACTAACAACAGTTAGGAAAAGCAGCCACTGTCGCATGGGGCTTTGACTTGCTGCAGATCTGTTTCTGCTTTCTCCCAGTGGTTGGAGAATGCAGAAAGAACTTCACATGCAACCTGTGTGTTCAGTATTATTGTAGGATTGAACTGCAAAACAGCAGTCCGAAAGAGCAGGTGGCAAACCCACCACTGGATGTGGAGTCCCGAGTTGGGAGCTGTGTCTTGGGGTGGATGGGCATGATTTAAAAAAAAAAAAAAAAAGCTACTGGATAGAAACTGGAAAAGGCTAAATTCTCTCTGTGATAATTAAGGCCAAGAACTAAGTGAGGACTGGGCAGAGAAGAACCATGAGGGTGAAAGCTCTGGGAGAGAACCTGTGAGATGGCTGGGTGGGTAAATTCTTGCCTTGCAAGTGCCACTATTCCATGTGGGCGCCAGTCTCTGTCCCAGCTGCTCCACTTTCCTCTCTGCTTGAGGCCTGGAAAGAAGCAGAGGATGGCCCAAGTGAATGGAACCCTGTACCCATGTGGGAGACCCGGAAGAGGTTCCTGGCTCCTCGCTTCAGATTAGCTCAGCACCAGCTTTTGTGGCCACTTGTGGAGTGGACCAGCGGACAGAGGATCTTTCTCTCTGTATCTCCTTCTCTCTGTATATTGCCTTTGCAGTAGAAAGAAATAAATCTGACCTCTGGAGATGCCATGTTATTCATGGCTGCACCATACCATGCTTTCTTCCTTTGCCCCAATTCCTTAAGATATACCCCAGATGTTGCCTTCTCCTTGAAACCCATAAATAAACCAACCTTACTTGGCTGCCTGTACTATATGACATGCAACTAGACCTCCTCCACTGTCCCTCTCTGGGCCACTGGTGTAGTCTGAATCCTGGAGGACTGTATTGCACAAGTCTCTATATTGCCAGCCATTACTTTCTGTGTTGTAGAATTTTAGTAGTCATTGTTGAAATTAATAATTGCAGGAGTGGTTGAGGAATTATCCCACATGCATCAGAACTTTAAAATTATAGCAATCTTTTAGAACCCTGTGCTTATTTATTAACTTTCTAAAAAATTAACCAAGCAAAATCTAATCTTTGGAAAATGGACTCAGATGCTAATATCCCCTGTTGCCCTTGGGGTCATGGGCATGTAGGGGACTGTTTACCTGATGTTTCACTGGGCTTTTGGAGTTAAGTAAGTTTGTTTTGTGTAGCTTTAGTTCTTCTTCTTTTTAAAAATGTATCCAAAATGTGTTTATTGGGAAGGTCTCCCACTCATCTTGATTCAGGGTGCCCTTAGTGCTGTTTCCTCAGAAGGAACATCCTTCTGTAAGCCTCCCTTTGCCTCCCGTGGGCTGGCAGAGGACAGTAGAGCAGCTGACACACGAAACAGCCGTCTGTGTGTGGCTAAAAACCGAGGTGATTTTGTAGCATCTTGGGCACTTCACATCCATGAAGTAAGAATTGGGGCTCTACACCAGACGTTTCTTCTTGTATTTCCTCTTCTCCTCCTCCAGAGGGGGATGCAGGAGATCCTTGGGGAGAGGCATGTTCACCTGGGAGGTCGTCGCCAGCGGAAAGGCAGCTTTAGTTCTTGACCTTATTCTCAATGCCTGTTACTTTGGCAGGCATTCCTCGCCTTCATTTTCTTCTGATCAGACGCGTCTACCGTGGAATCTGCAGGGAGTACTTAACACACTCTTCTTCCTATTTTTTAAAAAAGCATTTTATCTGTCCTTACGTGTCAACTGTAGTGATCAGTAGATTTCAAAGTGGGTAATATTCTTTTATTTATTATTGTTATTTTCCATGATACAATTTTGTAAGTTTAACAATTCCATTTTCCTTTCTTAGTTCCTGATTCCCCTTTCCATCATTTTCCCTTGTATTATCACAGTAGTGTAGTGTTTTAGTAAAGGTTACAAGTTTAACTTCCTGCTACTTAAGTGATTCATGGCATTGTAGGTATAGGCAAAGGCGTGTATAACATCTACTATCTTACTGCCAAGGTGTATTTAACTGCTTCATTAGGAGTTCTCCTTTTATTGGGGAGTAGAAACATGTACTGCAAGGTATCTTCACTTCCTGGTATGCAAGTCTCCATTATACAGTTCATCTATGAGAATATACGTATGAACAATGGTTTTGTAGTTTGCATGAAGGTTGTTTTATATCAGAGAGAACATGATGGTTTTTGTTCTTTCGGAACTGGCTTATTTCACTGAGCATAATGGTCTCCAGTTGGGACCATTTTGTAGTACTTTCTTTAGAAATGAAAGTAAAGGGGCCACTGCAGTGGCTCAACTGATGATTTTCCACCACCAAGTGCCAGCATCCCATTGGATGCTGGTTTGTGTCCTGGGTGCCCCACTTCCCATTCAGTTCCCTGCTTGGGGACTGGGAAATCAGTGGAGAATGACCCAAAGCTTTGGGACCCTGCACCTGTCAGGAAGAGCTGGCTTCATATCGGCTCAATTCTGGCCACTGCAGTCATTTGGGGAGTGAACCAGCGGATAGAAGATGTTTCTTTCTTTCCTTTCTGGAACTGTACCTTTCCAATAAAAATAAATTAATCTTTAAAAAAATGAAAAAAGAGAGGCCAGCGCTATGGCTCAAGTGGTTAATTCTCTACCTCCAAGGGTTAAGATCCCATATGGGCACCATTTCCTGTCCTGGCTGCTCCACTCCCCATCCAGCTCCCTACTTGTGGCCTGTGAAAGCAGCAGAGGATGGCCAAAGTGCATGGAACCCTATACACCTGTGGGAGACGCGGAAGAATCTCCTGATTCCTGGGTTTGGATTGGCTCAGCTCAGCTCCAGCTACCATAGCCATTTGGGGAGTGAACCAGCAGATGAAACATCTTTCTCTCTCTGCCTCTCTCTTAGTAAATCTGCCTTTCACATAAAAATAAATTTTAAAAAATCAAAGTGAAAGTAACTAGCATCTATAGAGTTCTGGGACTAAGTGTTCATACTTTGTGCATGAGCTTCTTCATTCTGTTGCCTGTTTTAGCGCCTCCTAGGGGTCAGCGCTGCAACAACAGGTGCAGAGGCAGCACTGGACCCTTCACAGAGTTCAGGTGATTTGCCTGGCAGTTCAGTCTTTTCTGTGGTTCTTAACTATATTTATTTTTTAAAAATAACTTTATTTTTATGTTGTTTATATGTTTGATCTTGACTATATTTAAAGCAAATTCTTTTTCATTTATTTTGCAACTTTAAAGATGCATTTAAAAAAGATTTATTTGTTTGAATGGCAGAGTTAGAAGGAGGAACAGAAAGAGTGAGAAAGAGAGATTGAGATCTTCTGTCCTCTGGTTGATTCCCCTACAATGACCATAGTAGCTGAGGCTGGGCCAGGTTGAGCCAGGAGCCTGAAACTCCTCTAGGGTCCCCCACGTGACTGATAGGGGCCCAAGCTCTTGGACTGTCTTCCACTGCTTTTCCAAGTGCACTAGCAGGAAGTTAGGTTAAAAGTGGAACAACTCGAACTCAGATTGTCCTCAGATGGAATGCCAGCATCACAGGCCGCAGCTTAAGTGCTTTTCCATGATGCTGGACCCTGAATGATTTATTTTGTATGTAAGTTATTAGATTTGTTTCAGGACAAAGTTTACAATAAATAATAAAGATAATGAATTTTTAAGTTTCTTTTTCTCTTACAGGAAATACAGATGAAAAGGACTGCAATTGAAGCTTTTAATGAAACAATTAAAATATTTGAGGAGCAATGTCATACACAAGAACAGCACAGCAAAGAATATATTGAACGATTTCGCAGGGAGGGGAATGAGAAAGAGATTGAACGGTCAGTCTTCCTGATTTCTCCAAGGGTTCCAGGGAGACAAGACTTCTTTACTTCCTCAATAATTCCTGCCTTGTCTGCTCTTACCTCCTCCAACTGCAATAGTCCTGCCAAGTGGAACTACTTACTGTCTTCAGTGATAGCACCAAACTGAGCCTCCTCTCTTCTAAGCTCTTCTTTTTTTCTCAGATTGTTAATTCTTTTCCTTTATGACTCACCTTGGACATGACTTTTTCCAGAAAAATCTTCCCTGAATCTCCCTTTAGTAATGGATCCTATAAAATGTTTCTTGAAAGCCTTGCCCACTCAAGTGTTAGTAAGTTAACAGAGTAGGCAGGTGGCATATCTTCCGTGATTGGCTCGGTTCTGGTGATGGTGTCTGGGAGAACGTAATGGATTTTCAGTGAATGTTTGAGCTGAAAATCAGCAGTCTGAGAATAAATTGGGGCACATCAAGACTTAGTAAGATGAACCTATTACAAGTGCTTATGGTGGTGGTAGTCACCAGCTTAAAAGACAATGTTGGCTTGAATCTGAACAAGGCAGGGAAGTTTATAGAAACTTTGAGGACCTGATGCATGATAGATACAAAGGTGTGGGAGAAATTAAAGAGTATCCCTAGATTTCTGGTGTGAATGACCTGGAGATGGTGTTACTCTCCCAAGGAGGAAGTGCACGAAGAGTCCAAGGTTGGAACCAGTGGATTTGGAATTCCTCTGAGGGCCCAGATGGAGCTATATAAGAAGAAGGCAGTTGGTTATTTCAGTTTGGAACTTAAGAAAGGGAAAGATCTAGTGAGGCTTAAGTAGATGTACGATGGTGGATGCTAAAAGTGAGTGCATACTGGATTTGGCAGTTAGAAGGGTACTAGAAACCCAAGCCTAGAGTATTGGAAGAGTGAGGAATAGTGGTCTGAAGAGTGAAAAGGCATGAAAAAAAAGTAATGAATAAAATAAGTCCTATGCAATGACAAAACAAAACTGTTTCTCTTATGGGTACCACAGCATGAACATGGAGCTGTGGGGTGTTAGAGCTTCAATAGTAAAAACCATGGACTTGAATTTTGTTTTGGTCATTTGTTAGCTGTGTTACTTTGGGTGGGGTTACTTAACCTGTCTTGAATCTGTTTCATCCTCCATTTAACTGTAGATAATATTTTACTGTCATGAGTAGTGATGAATAATATCTTGGCATGTTAAGCTGCCAATAAATTGCAACTGTTAATAATGAACACATAGAAAATATCTGTGGTTTAGTTACAGAGAGAGATAAAGTGGCATAATAAATTCTAATAGTGGTATAAAGCCGTATATTATTGACAAGCAAGTAATATGAATAATTGTTGCTGTAATTGTTCAGAGCATGACAAACTGTGATGCTGGAAAACCTTCTGGTCATCATTTGTTGATGTGTTGAGCAATGTTCTAGAACGCTTACATGTGTTTTCACATTTAATGAACACTAATAACCCAGTAAAGTAAATAGAAACCTCCTTTAAACAGAGGATAAAATGAAGGCACAGAGAAATTAAGTAGCCTTTTTGTAGCCCCACAATAAGTGACAGGACAAAGAGCCATAACTGGGTAAGCCCTTACAAAGCCATTGCTGTGAACCACTGGCAGGAAGGAGGGCGCTAACTCATGACGGTCATATGTTCAGCTTTACCTGCTCAGTCATGGTTGGATTCATGACCCAAACAAGATCATTGTGATTCTGTCTCACATTGTAGTTTGACTGTTTTCCTCTGAGTTAACTTTATCCTCAGCCAGCTTTTGCCTGTGAGGCAGCAGGAGAGCTGGAAGCTTTAAAATCACATGTTCATAACTTAGCAACTTAACTTCACTTAGCAGAGAGAAAGCGAGAACCTCTTGTCACAATAGTCCCACAAAAGTCCTAGAACTGACTCTCGTTTAGTCAGTTGAAGTCTGACTCCTGAACCAGTCATGGTAGCATAGCACAAGGAGAGGGATGGGCTGGCTGGAATCCTCTTTACCAGCCAATCTGGGCCTCGTGCGTGCCTCTCTCACCTCTGGATCTGAGATAAGAAGAGCACTGGTGAAAGTGTAGGGCACCTATGAAGACAAATTGGGCAGTAAATGTACCACTTGTAGTAACTTTGAAGTAAATATATTATCTCTGAGAATTCTGACCTGCCAGTGCTAGGCTCACAGTGGGAATGGATTCAGACCAAGCAAAAACAACAGCTGTTCACCACACTTAAGATCTCAGAACCATGTTCACATTATAGGAGACTTCTGTTTGGTTGCTATTTTAGCCTTAATTTGTCAAATATTTTCACAGCATTATGATGAATTATGACAAACTGAAATCACGTCTGGGTGAGATTCATGATAGCAAAATGCGTCTTGAGCAGGATTTGAAGAAACAAGCTTTGGACAACCGAGAAATAGATAAAAAAATGAATAGCATTAAACCTGACCTGATTCAGCTGCGCAAGATCCGGGATCAGCACCTCGTGTGAGTAGGGGATGGTGTGGGGAGAGACGCACTGGCGTCCAGTTACTATGGGCCAGAGGTGTTGCAGATGGAAAGAGATTTAGAATTGAGAATTGGCCCATGAGATGGCAAGATTTAGCAAAGGACAATGTTGTAGGACATCCTAGAGTTATCTGAAGTCAGCATGTGGGGCAGATCAGAATGTAGGCCCACACAGGCGCTTTGCGGGGCTCAAAAGGCAAAACATTGTCAGAGAGGGGGCAGGTAATGTTTGCCTAAAGTACCGAAACCAGAGTTGTTAGTTGAGTGGTGGGAACACAGAGAAACGATCGTCTCTCAGAGGCGGAACTGCACACTGTCAGTGGGACCTCCAAGGGGTCACACCTGATCGTCTTTTAGGGGGTTTTTATATTTAACAAGTGAAATTCTTTTTAAAATAATATAAACATGTCTGTAGCAGATACTTGAGATAATTTGCATAGTGAAACTCCATTTTTTAAAAAAGATTTATTTTATTTTTATTGCAAAGTCAGATATACAGAGAGAAAGAGAGATAGATCTTCTGTCCATTGATGCACTCCCCAAATGATTGTAATTGGCCGGTGCTGCGCCAATCCAAAGCCAGGAGCCAGGAACTTTCCTCCAGGTTTCCCACGTGGGTACAGGGTCCCAAGGCTTTGGGCCGTCCTCAACTGCTTTCCCAGGCCACAAGCAGGGAGCTAGATGGGAAGCAGGACTCCCGGGATTAGAACCAGTGCCCATATGAGATCCCGGTGCACAAGGTGAGGACTTTAACCACTACGCTGACTCACCAGGCCCCATTTTTTTAAATTAGGAAAAACTGTGATGTAGTCAAACACAGGCATTGTAATGGTGTTATCCAAACAAAGATTCAAAGTTTATTGCTGAAATGAAGTATGCGGATTAGATTTTTAGAAAGAAAAATGACTGCTTTGTTAAAAAGTAAATCCATTCCTAGACCTCACCAGGTAAGTTATTGGAGATTTTTCTGCTCACTCACCTAAGACTTCTATTCTTCAATTGTTAATATATGGCTTGTTAGAGTTATAAGACTGCTTTGATTGCCCTAGAGTGCACAAAGTTCTGTGAAATCTTGCTTGAATACCATACACTTCTAAGTTTAAATTTAAAAAAAAGTAAATCCATAAGAAAGGAATGTCATGTATTTGGCTTATTTCTAAGTGATGTGTATAATAATCTATGGTGGTATTATTAAGACTAGTAATTACTTGAGTTAGGGGCACTGATGGGCAGAATGACGTGAGGGAAACTTTGCTGGGTCCTAGAAACGGTCTCAGTCTTCATCTGAGTTGGGTTACACAGGCTTGTACAAATATGCAAATTGGTCAAGAACAGGCATTGGCTTAGAGGTTAGGATGATATTTAGGATGTCTACCCCCTTTACTGGGGTGCCTGGATTAGAGCCCCAGTTCTGGCTCCCAGTTGCACCTTCCTGCTGATGTGCACTTTGAGAGGAGAGAAGAAGCTCAAGCGTTTAGGGGAAGATGGGGATTGAGTTCCCAGCTCCCAGCCTTGGCCAGGCAAGCAGTGGTACAGGCATCTGGAGAGTGAGCCAACACATAGACCTAGCTTTGTCCCTTGCTCTTCTTTTTTTCTCTCTGCCTCTCCAACGAAAATAAATCAACTAGTCTGTACATGTAAGAGTAATGGAATATACCAGTACCTACAAGCAGGCTAACTCTCCGCCTGCAGTGCTGGTCACCCCTATGGATGCCATTTCTAATCCTGGCTGCTCCACTTCTAGTCCAGCTCGCTGTTAATGGCCTGGGAAAGCAGCAGAGGATGGTCCAAAGCCTTGGGACCCTGCACCCACAAAGGATGCTCAGAATTAGCTCCTGGCTTCCTGCTTAGGACAGGCTCAGCTTTGGGAATGAACCAGCAGATGGAAGATTTTCTCTCTCTCTGCCTCTTCCAAGTAAAACTAAATATTTAAAAAATGGATTTCTTAAATGTAAAATCAGTTAAAATTTCATTTCAGAAAAGGACTTTGGGGAGTGGTGTGGTAGTTTAGGCAAAGGTACTGCCATCTATATCGGCCCCTATGTAAACAACTTTAAATATGAGGTTTGATGCCAGGTTATCTAGTATAAATGGTGTCAGACAATTTCAGTGTTAGTTTTGAAGATTTTTATTCAAAGCAGCCCACTAGGAAATTAGCTCCAAGGAAACTAGGGTAGGGTTACTTGAGAAAGTTTACGGAAAAGTGAAGTCATAAAAGTGTTATTATTACAAGAAAAACTTTGAGATCCATGCAGTTTCACATGGAAAATATATATTTTCCATTCATTCTGAAAAAGGAATTTGTACCCCCCAATTGTTCGTGTTGTTTTCCTTGAACTCTTTGACGTACCCTTGCATTTTTGATTATGTGTTTTCTGAGTGTGTGTTTGGATTGTTTGTAAGCATTGGGGATCTGTATCACCTTGTTTAAAGTGAGCTTACATTTTAGTCGGGGGGACATACACATGCAGTATGAAGCAGGGGCTGTCGACAAATGCTGATAATGAAGGAAAGGGGTCAAGTGTCGGAAGGGACTGGGGCGTGTCTTATTTGGGACAGATAGGTTAGTTTCCTTGGAGCTGATGTTTATAACAGCACCCGAGTGGTTGGGGACCTTACCTGAAGGTGGTGATGAATAGGACACTTTTAGACAGTTGGCCATATGAAAGGAACTAAATTTGATGATTTATATAATTGTATATCTAAAATGTTGGTCTGTTTTAAATGTTGCTATGATTTGCTTGATGATTAAACAAACCCACAGTAAGTATGCAGATTGCCAGACTTAATTTCTTATTGTGCATGAAAATAGATCTTGAGATATCTGGTTAGAACTTTTGACTGAGTTCAGTAGGCCACTCAGGAAATGGGCTCTGTGGTTTAGTGCAGATAGCATTTGTGATACCGTGCCCACCTAACCCATGATTTCAGAAACAGAGGTCCCCTTGTCTGTGCGTGCTTGGGATGCCATAGCCTTTTGGGGGGGAAAAAAGTGCCTCATTTCAAGTGATTTGCTGTGTTTCTTCCTTTTTTGTGAAGAGAAAAAAAAAAACCATCGTGGTATTAAAAGAAAGGTAGTGGTGAGATTAATTTAGGGAAATCTCTGCCCACTTTTCAGGGGGTTGTGGGACACAGAAGGCTGGCTGCTGCACTTTGGGAGTTTGGTTGGTCCAGGCAGTTTACGCTGGTGCTGACACTGGTGTCTTGCCTCTGGCAGGTGGCTCAGTCACAAAGGAGTGAGGCAGAAGCGCCTGAACGCCTGGCTGGGGATCAGGAACGAAGACACGGATGAGTATGTTCTGCCTGCACCCTCCTGTTACAGTGTTGTGTTCCCTAGGCAATTTGTGGGTCTTCTTTAAGCTTACCAAAAGTTGGTTCTCATAGTCACTTGAGAATATCGTGTTTTTGAATTGAACTGTCTGAAGAACACCCTGTTGGCATCTGGATGCATAAGCACCTGTTCCAATAGTCACGTGTCAGCTCATTGGATGGATGCATGAATTCTGTGCTTTCTGCACCGTAGCAAGTAACAAAGTTGTTAACTGACACACACCCACCATGAGGCAGGTGTTTACCATAGTGGTAAAGGTGTTGCTTGGGTTACCTGCAATGCATCCTAGAGTCTTAGGTTTATGTCCTGACTCCACTTCTGACTTCTCACTAACATGTACCCTGGGAAGCAGCAGTAGTGGCTTCAGTCCTTGGGTCCCAGGTAGTTTCTGGCTCCTGCCTTGGGCCTGGCACAGCCTGTGCTGTTGTGGGAATGAGCCCAGTGGATGGAAGATCTTTCTTCGTCTGTCTGTGTTTTTCTCTACTTTCAACTAAAACAAAATAAGAAAGGAAAACGAAACATCCAACTAATTGCAAATTTGTTTTGTCATTGTGGTTGAAGATTTGTAAGAGCATTCTATTCATAAAATTGCTTTTACATGTAAATAACCGTATTGTCAGAGTTAATATTTTCAACATTTAATTTTTAGAACCTATTTTATCAATGAGGAGGATGAAAACTTGCCGCATTATGATGAGAAAACCTGGTTTGTTGAGGATATCAATAGAGTACAAGCAGAAGACTTGCTTTATGGGAAACCCGATGGCGCTTTCCTGATTCGTGAGAGTAGCAAGAAAGGATGCTATGCTTGCTCCGTGGTGTAAGTCATGATTTATGAAACCTGGTTCTTAAGGGGAGGGAGTTAAGACTTTTTGCATTTTTTTGCAATGAGGAAGAGAAAATCAACCCCTCATTTAAAAATTACATTAAATGAATTAAAGTGCAATAACATATGAGAACATATGGCATAGGCCTTTAATGCTTGTACCAAGAGAAGTGTTTTATGATATCTGAAATTATTTTGGAGATTTTAACTAACATGGTAAGTAGATAGAACTGCATAAGTTGCTACTATTAGATTTTAAGGGTTTATGAAATCTTGAATTGCACGGAAAAAAATGACTTAATTTTTAGTACACTCCTGTAGGTTTAACTTAATTTCCATTGTAGATGAGGGAAAGCTTAATTGAATGGAAATATATTTACTTCAGAAGAAAAACTGTCTATGTTTTAAAATGAAATTAGTATCCTGTGAAGGTAGTGATAGAATATTTGCACATATTTTTCTTACTATGATCTTAGGACTTCTCTGGAAAAAGCTTATTTTCCTTTTATGAAAAGTAAAACTCTCAGGATAATTAACTATGCCCCGTTGGATTTTACCTGAGAGCTTTGTTAAGAAGGAAAACATTTTCCTTGTTAGTTAGAAACGAGGTATGCTGATTCTGGTCAGACTGTGTACAAGCTTTCCTTTCCCTTGGTTCCTTGTCTCTAAAGTAAAGACGACGGTAATAGCATTAACACCTTCTCTGGGGTTTTACGGGTCAAGAAATGCAGCGTGCTTTCTGCGTTGGTAGACTGAGGCCCTGCTGGTAATCACGACGATGAAGAATGTGCAGGGCAGAAGGCAGACGCCGCTGACAAAGCCTTCCACCTCAGAGAGGGCCAGATGCGGGAGCCGAGGAGACGCACGTGCACAGAGTGCTGATGCGGAGATCTGAGGGTCCGCTTCTGTCAGGGAGTCAGAGTTGGTATCCAGGCTTCCTGGATTCAAAACTCACATTTATCTGTTGCACCAGGCTTTCCTCATTTCACAAATATCCCAGATAAATGGCCTCAAATACATATCATCAGTAGGCCTTGAACATGCAGAACATTGTGATACAGAATGAGAAGATGGGGGCTGGAGTGTTCATTCCAGGAATGCAAGGATGGCTCAGTATGGAAAAATAAATTGACGTGAGAAGCCACATTAATAAAGAACCAAAGCACATGCTGATCTCAATAGCTGCATAAACAGCATTTGCCAAGGATGAGTGTTGGCACAGCAGTTTGAATCACGCTTGGGGAGCCCACATCCTGTGTTGGAGTCTGGGTTCCATTCCAGCTGACAGCTGATGCACACTCTGGGAGGCGGCAGAGGCGGGCCAAGCCCGCCGTGAGGCAGGCCTAGACTAAGTTCCAGGCTCAGTAGTTTCCATCTGCCCAGGCCAGACTGTTCTGGGCAGTTAGGGGGTGATGCAGCAGATGAACAGTCTCTCTTTTCACTCCCTCTACCTTTCAAATGCAATGAAATATTAATTTTTTAAAATGTGTTGGACAGATTCCAACAATCTTTACTGTTTAAAAACATTTGAGGGCCCAGCACGGTGGCCTAGTGGCCAAAGTCCTTGCCTTGCAGGTGCTGGGATCCCATATGGGCGCCAGTTCTAATCCCGGCAACTCCACTTCTCAGCCAGCCCCTGCTTGTAGCCTGGGAAAGCAGTGGAGGACGGCCCAAAGCCTTGGGACCCTGCACCCGAGAGGGAGACCCGGATGAGCTCCTGGCTCCTGGCTTCAGATAGGCACAGTTCCGGCTGTTGCAGCCACCTGGGGAGTGACTCATCAGAGAGATCTTCCTCTGTCTCTCCTCCTCTGTATATCTGCCTTTCCAATAAAAATAAAAAATTTTTAAAGTTTGATAAAATAGAAATAGAAAACTTCTTCAACCTGATAAAATTATCAGTGAAAAAATACAGCTAGCATATGTAATAGGTGAATAGTGAATGCTTTCCTCTAGTGTCAGGATTAGTGAGGGTGTCTGTTCCAACCACTTTGATGCATCATTGTACAGGAGAACATTCTAGCTGGAGCAGTTAGGCAAGAGAGGGACTGGAAAGGAAGTTAGTAGAGTGGGGTAAGTTAGTTCAGCAAGGCTGCAGGTTACAAGTTACAGACGTGTATTTGTGTAGCAGTGCCCCCTCCAAAGGTGAAATTGAGCACCTGCCATTTGCAATAGAATCAAAGTGATGAAATACCCAAGAATAAACAAGACATGCGAGGGCTGCATACTAAAGACGGCAACTGATATTTGAAAGAAACTTTCAAAGACCTCAGTCAGTGAAACAACATTTCGTGTTCATGGACCAGAAGACTTAATGCTGGGAGTTAGCACTTCCCAGATTGCTGTGTCATCATATGAAATCCCAGATGGGTCTTGGCAGGGATGGACAGGATGATCCTAACATCTCTATGGAAATGTAAGGCCCCCCGAGTATTTAAAGCAGCAGGAAAAAGAAGACAGTCATTGAAATCAATAGCAGTCATCACATCCCTCAACTGCAAAGTTTTACACACAGCTGAAGACAGTGAGGTGCCAACGTAAGGTTAGCCCTGGGAGTCACCTCTGGTTCTGACAGTTACAGCTGTGACCCTGTACCAGGTGTTGAGTGGGACGCAGTTTCACAAGCTTTGGTTGACAGACCACGCCTCCTCTGTGTGGCAGCTGCACTCTTGCTCGCGGCCATTGGCTGGCCTTTTGCGTGTAACGCGTGCCTGCATGGCTCTCTGGTGTCGTTGCAGCGCCGACGGCGAGGTGAAGCACTGTGTGATCTACAGCACGGCACGCGGCTATGGCTTCGCGGAGCCCTACAACCTGTACGGCTCGCTCAAGGAGCTGGTGCTGCACTACCAGCAGACGTCCCTGGTGCAGCACAACGACGCCCTCAACGTCAGGCTGGCCTACCCCATCCACGCACAGATGCCCTCGCTCTGCAGATAAAGGGGGCACGGGAGGAGAGGCGGCGCGCGAGCGTGTTTTCTACCGTTTTTATTCGACTCCAAGGAGGGCATTCTTTCTACGTAGACTGCTTGTTTTGCACAAGAAGTGATTCTGTGAATGTGAAATGGAGAGGCCGAATGGCAGCCGGCCAGGATTGGGGGGCCTCCAGGGCCTGGGGTTTGGGGAGACTCAGCTGAGCTGCTGCACACATACTCAGCTGGAAGCGGAGGTGGCTTGTGAAAGGTCTGTTTCTTTGGCATTTTTGTTTTCAGTTAGCCGGGCACCCTCAACAGAATGCAGGGAGCTTGACGGGGTGGGGGGTGGGACTTGGGGCTGCAGGGTCTCTGGCCCCCTTGGGCATCAGTTCTGATGCTCCAGGGAATGGGTCTGTGGGGAATTCAGTGTTGCTCTAACAGCCTTCCTCCCCTCCCCCCCACAGAAGGCTGTTGGCTTCTGTGGAGAACGCGTTTGTTGAAACGACAACCAAAGGAAAGGGGGAGGCTTGGATTTCGTGCAGAACCTCAGCCCCCAGGGGAGCACACGTTGGCTGAAGGCACTTTCTTCCTCACCAACACAGCCGGGGCTCAGGCGTCTCACTAGGTCCTCCCTAGCAAGCACCACATTCAGACATTGACACAGCGGCATTGGTGATGGGGGAAGCGGCACTAGTGGCTGAATGCACGTTTCTATACCAAAACTTGAAGAAAGACAACTAGAATCTGTGAGTTTCTGCAAACACTAAGATTGGTCAGTGAACAACTTCTGCCCTTGTTTCTCAGCATTTTTGTTGTTTTTGGTGGGAATGGTGAGCTTTGAATCCTAAAATGAAGTCGGTGCTTGTGTGGTGTTTACTTAGCCTAAAGAATGATCTGTTGTTTGAAACCTTTGTAACTTGTTTGAGTAAAGGTGCAATCCAGTGCTTTTAGCTGGCTTCGTATACCAAATACTGACACAGAACAGCAGTTGTGCTGGGCTTCCTCAAGTTTGGAGGCCCTGCAGAACAGTAGGCGTCCTTTCAGTTTTGTCTCCTGTTCCTTTGCTGGGTGGGGTGTCGGGAGCCGCAGGTGGCTAAGAGAACTGAGACTGGGCAGAGACCTGTAGATCAGACCAGGAGTCCGGCGTCCAGGGTCAGTCATACCGCATCACACGTGTGCTTCCCTCCAGTGGGCTCTGAAACCTCGGCAAGGAGAGGCGGCTTGGAGGTCAGGCTGTCAGGGGAAGCCATCTGGCCGCTTTTCTCTGCGTTGTTTGTGATCCAGCCATTAAGGCAATATGCCGTATGCCCTTCCGCTCCAGTGGTTGTGATTTTAGGCCAGGAATCTTCTGCTCGATGTGGTTGAAGCCTTCCAGCCGAGTGAAGTTTGGCAAATGGGAGGAGGGGAGCAGGCATCCACTCCTGACTCCATTATGCCACACACTCAATTAGTCAAAACTCATCCAGCAAGTAGAGCCCAGCTGCCTGCCAGCCCAGCCTGGACCACAGGGGACTCGGGGTGAGTCAGGCATTTGCACCCAGAGCTGTGCAGTGAGGCCTTCTGGTTAAGAGTGGCCAGCACCCAGGTCTTGGTTTGTAAGGCCCAGAGCCAGGAGAGCTCTACTTCAGAGCCAAAAGGAAAACGAGTGCCACTTTTCCCTGAGCACTTGGGGGACAGGGTCTAGAAGGGGCCAAAGACAGTCCAGGTTTTAGGAAAACCTCCACAGCTACCAGCAGTGAGAAAGGGAAAGGCACTCGAGTCTTTTCCTGTTTATGTTCCTGTCTCAGGATTGGAGGAGGCAAAGACAAGTGAACCCTCCTCCAGTGCTCTGTCCTTAGGCCTGTCGTGGGTAGCCAGCACATCCTTTCCCCAACTGCCAGATGAAAATCTTGCTGAAAATTTTTACTGCGCAATGCGGGGCCAAGTGCAGCTGAGCACATCCGAGTGGCTTTGCACCTGCCTAAGCGGCTGGACGCTCCAGAGGGGTTACCAGGACTTCCCCTCCCTGACACTAGCTTTAGCATGTTCTGCACAACTCTTCTAGAACACACCAAATGGGACCGATGCTACATACCTGCAGTGTTGAACAGTGAGTCGCCACCTGTTGGGCAGATGCTGAGGGTATGCTGGGAGAGAACAGGCACCCTCGTTACTGTTGCTGGGCTGGCTGGTGGAGAAGGCCTGTTCTCCCTGCCCACACTTTCCTATCATTTGCTCTCAAAATCATTGCTCTGTGGGATCTAAGACCCAGGGATCATTTGAGAAACTGGACATATCTTTTCTGAACCTCACCTCCAGGCCAGTGGGGGTGGCACAGGTCCCTGTGGCATCATCATAACTGTGGTCTCACTTGGGCAGAGGGCAGAGACAGATCTAGGCTAGAGGGGATTTTTACTCTCCTGGCAAAAGGAAGCCAGTGACCAGCATGAACAGGCTGGCCGGACACGGGCTCTAGGCCCGTTGACTTTAGGTGGAACTTCCATTACCGAACAAAGCATTTCCACCTGCTGTCAGCTTGGCCATGGCTCAGGGCTGCAGGGGCTGCCCGAGTCCTAGCTGGTGATCTGGCCAAGGATGAGGACTTCCTCATAGCCCGACTCTGCCTTCCACAGCCCCTGGGCTCTCGCACTGGCGTTGGACCTTGTGTGCTCTGACGCAGCCATACGGTATCTCCTCTCGCTTCTGGGGATCAGCCCAAGTTGTTCTCTTGAGCTAAGAACTGTACACAGGCAGTTCTGATCACTGCCAGCAGTGATGACCCCAGAGCAGGCCTCTGTGAGGGTCCAGATGGGGGCTTGCCTGGGCCCTCTGCTGCCGACTGCTCAGCTCTGCTTTAGCTCCAGCCACTTGTGACAACCCGCCTCGTTTCCTTACTAATTCCAATTCCAGCATGTGACTTTGGTGCCCTGTTGTTGTGAAAAAGCGATTCTTTTGTTGTCTTTGATGTAGTTAAAAAAAAAAAAAGTCATGTAGTTTACATAAATATCTGATTCACAAGGAAGCCAGCTTGTATGTCTTGTGTTGGGACAGTTCATAATGTAGCTCCTAGACCACTTTGGCAAACTGTTCTTGTCACCAGGTGTGTTCAGACATTGCTGTGCAGTTGTGGGGAGGGAGGGGAAAAGTGAGGGGTGGTACTTTCTGGTCTTTTTTTTTTTTTTTACCTTCCCCACAAGGGGGACAGTCTGGCCAACTTGCTCCAATCATGCAATAAAGACATTGCAATAAAGCACGGATCTGTTTTCATGCTGTGAGGGGCAGGCTGGAGGGAGGGCAGGGGAAGACAGAGCGTTGAAAAGCCTTTGAGACTTCCAAACTTTCTCCACAGTGGGCACCGCTGGAGCAGTCCTGGGCTGACTGGGGCCACCACAGGGGCTCCCCTTCCCCAGAAGGAAGAAGAGATGAGTGTTGGCGGGCCTGGTGCCAGAGTGCTGCCACTGTACAGCTGTTGGGACACGGTGAGCTCCGTGGCTGCCTTCCTCTTCTGCAGCTTCTCCTAAGCCCAGCCTGTTTCACAATTTAATGAATAGGAGAACAGTTCGTCCTGTTATAACTCCTATTAATTTTTCTTTGAATATCAAAATATTTCCAACTTTACTATTTCATCTCTAATACTGAGAAGCTGGGATTGGTGGTACGGCATAGTGGGTGAAGCATTGGTATGAATCTTAGTTGCTCCATCTCCTTGCTGATGTTTGGGAAAGCAACAGAGGATGGTCCAGGGCCCTGGGCCCCTGAACCCATGTGGGAAATTGGGAAGAAGTTGCTGGTTCCAGGCTTCAGTTAGGCTCAGCTCTAGTTGTTGTAGCCATTTAGAGTGGACCAGCGCATGAAGATGTGTCTCCCTCCTTCTAACTGCCTTTCCAATAAATATTTTTTAAAAACACACTGGAAAGCCCCACCTCCCACACCGCCTTCTGGCACTTCTCAGATCCATTGTCATGATAGCAACAAGTTGCCTTTCTATGATACAGACCCAAGCCTGTGCAAAAGCAGTACTTGGGGCTATTAAGAGTGTCCTAAATGCTCTGGCTTCTCCCTGAGGCAAGCTTTCAGCTCCTCTCAGGGTTTCACTGGCTCAGTCCCCTTAGCCAGTTCCAGTGTCCTCTTGGGCCGTCTCTCTCTGGTCTATTTCCTGACAGCTTCGGCTGTGTCTAGTGCTCCTTCCTCAGGGCGTCTCCTCGCTGCTGCTCTCCTGCTTGGAACCACCCTGATGGGTCCCCTCCTTCATTCTCCTGTCTTGCTTTCCTCATTCAGTAGCCAGAACCATCTTCCTGCTGCAGCCCAATACCGCTTCAGGGGGCTGCCCCTGACCCTGAGGCAGCTGTGTTTAGCATCTCCCACCCTCATTTTCCAACCCCCCCCCAAACCAGGTAGTTCTGCCTCCTGCCACCCCTTTCACCTACAGGATGGTGCTTCTGACCAGCTCCTGACATACATGGCACCTACAGCCATGGCCCCTGCCATCATCTGGACGAGACCTGAGTTCCTTGTGCCAGGTCCAGGTGCCTGAAGGAAGCAGGAAGTATGAACCAGAGGACTGGAGAGAGGTCACTGCTCTTGAGGCTGCCCCATCTCATGCTGGAGGGTTTGGACTGGGGTCTCGGCTGGCTCTGCTTCTGATTCCAGCTGGTGAGGCAGGAGGTGATGGCCCAAGTACCTTGGTCCCTGCCACCCACAGGGAGACTCTATCAGGGTGCTGCCCTGGGCCGCTGAGCAGCCCTAGCACATGGGCACCTTTCTCAAATAGATACATCTTTTAAAAAATTGTTTTCTTTTTTTAAAGGCTGGACAGGGGCCCTAGATGCCCTGCTGGAGCCAGAGCCTGTGGGACCAAGGGCTGTGCCCCAAAACAAGCAGGAAGAGGAGGCCTTGGAAGCTGTGCGGGTCTGCCCAGGTGTTCCACAGCTGGGACTGCCCAGCCACATCCCACGGCCAGGCCGCCCTGCTCTCAGGTCCACCTGCAAGATGCATGCCCACGCCTTTGAGGAGCTGCTGCTTCCTGCTTCTCTTGCGTTGCACCTGTGTGGAAGTGGCACACCTGGGAGAAGCTTCTGCACAGACAGCTGTCTCTTCAAAGGCTCTGGGATGCGGCAAGGGGCAGGGCGGGGTGGGGATGGGGGTTGGGGGACAGGGGGATATTCCTTATCGGAAAAGGCAGTGCAGCCCATTTTCTGAGACAGTGTGTGGCCTGGATGCTGAGGACTCTGAATACCTATCTGTAAACCACTGTACAAATGGGCTCTAATACACTTCTGCAAGAACAAAAAGGGCTGGGAAACTGAGTTGCCCGTCAGCCCAGGGTGGACTCGGTCAAAGTGCGCCCTCTGCTGGCCACAGAGTACCCTGTGCAAGGTGCTGGAGAGCTGAGGGCCAAGGGATGCTAGCAGCCCTGTTGCCACCTTCAGACCTGGTGGCCAGTTTGTGGGGCCATGGATAGAGACAGCTCTGCAGACCCTCCTCGGCCAAGCCCACTCTGTGCTGCCTTCTCCTTCCCAGCTCCCCAAGCTGGTCCCAGGAACGTCCTCCATGTCTTTCCCCCACTGATCCCAGGGCTGCAGTGTCTACCCTGGCACTGAGGCCAGTTCCACAGCCCTGGCAGGGTTCACTGCCAAAACCTAAGGTTTCTTCTGCCTTCCTCTCACCTGACCTCTGCATTCTACCAGCCAACCCCTCTCCCTACAAAAGCTTCCCTCTCAGTCCATGCAAAATGACCTCCTTGCCTCCCAGTGCCCCATGCATGTCCACACAAGGTGAGTGACCCTTCAGCTGCAGGCCCTGCCCTGGTCGGGCCCTTTCACGGGAACAGGGAAGCCTGAGCTCCTGGCCCACTGCACAGGAGTGTCAGCTGCTCTGTGGTGCCAGGCTGCTCCTCACCAGAGGCTGAGCTTCTGGAAGGCCATTAAAAGTGGCTCTGGCCACCGACTGCATGTGCCTGGACACTCTCCACTGTGGGCATACGGCCATCACCCCCTTACCAGGGTGAACATCAGTCCCTGAAAGTCAAGGTGAGTCCACGCCTTCCCCTGGAGGTGGAACTGTGCCCAGCGGCAAGACAAACCCCTGGGTGGGTGTGTGCAAACTGAAGGAAAGAAGCAGGCCAAACGCAAGGAAACGTTTCCGGGGTGTGTATTACTCAAGAGAAGCACACGGCTGCTAGGTCTGCTTCAGAAGCTCGTCCGGCGTCGAGGCTGAGTCCTGATGCTTCGGGTGGCTGCCTGGCTCCCGGCTCCTCCAGCGCAGGCTGAGCCCAGGCTCCTGGGGGACCGGGTCACTTCCCCCCAGGATGTCCTGCCTCCTGTCACCTGAGGCATCAGGCACTTGGGTGACACTCAGGGCTGGCTTGCCTTTCTCTCCTGGTGTATACTTTGGTTCCCAGGGCCAGCTTTGGCCAGGAACGTCACAAGGTGGCTGGACCAGCATGGGGTCACCGGCTGGTTGTAATGTGGCCTCGTGCCTAGGGGACAGGTTCTCACGGTGGATTGTAGTGGTGGTAGCTTCTGAGTCCTGGGCGCTGGCTGGCCCACCGCCCGGCATGGCCTCTTTGCTAGGGGATACCTCATCTGGGCCCTGGATAAGGCACCTCCAAGGCCACCCGCCAGTGTTCCCAGAGGTGGTGGAGCCGGCAGCCCAGCAGCTGGCAGGGCCGAGGGACGCGGGGCTAGGACAAAGTGCTGGTGCTGCCTGGGTATGCGGGTGCCGTGCCCTCCAGCAGCCCTCTGGGGGCACAGGGATTGCAGCTGCTGAGGACCGGGTGGTCACCTCAAGCACTTGTGGTCCCCCAAGCTTCCCCTGGCGGCCAGTGGGACCCTCTATTCTGGGTGGCCCCAGTGTGACTCCTGTTACCAGGCCCCTGGGTGGGCAAGTGTCCTCCTCCACAGCCCGGCCCGCCCCGCCCAGGGCTGGGCTCTGGGCCCGCTCGGAGTGGCGTGCTGAGCCTGCGCTGTCCTCAGGCCCCTCTTCAGCATCATCCTCCGACGAGTCCACCTCGCGGATGGCTTCCTGCTTCTGTAGTGACTCCCGCCGCTCGGCCCGGTCCTGCCGGAGGGCGCCCAGGGCCCGCGAGGGGGCAGGCGGCAGCACCCCCTTGCCGGCCAGCACGGCCCTGGCGCCGACGCCCTCCAGCGGGCTGGCCTCGCGGGGCGGCAGCTCCTTCTTGAGCTCCGAGTGGGGCAGCTCCAGGCTGTGCTTGCGGGACGCTGCCAGCTTCTCGGCGGCGGCGAGTGCGGCTGCCAGCTTCTCGGCCGACTGCACACGCTTGAGCAGCGGCGAGCGCGGCGGCTCGGCACTCTTGGGCCGCGACAGTTGCCGGCCCAGGGGGGGCGACAGGTGCAGCTTGGCGGGAAAGGCCTGGGCTCCGTGGCCGGAGAGGGGCGAAGGGGAACGCTGCGGGGAGGACGCAGGGGGTGGCGAAGGTGTGTGGGCCAGAGGGGACAGCGGGATGCTGCCGGCTGACTTGCGTCGCGGCGAGCGGTACTGGCGTTGGAGCTTGGGTGCCAGGCCATGGAGCGAGCTGGGCCGGGTGTGCCCGGAGCCAGCCGGAGAGCTGGGCACACTGGAGCTGGGAGAGCTGCTCTGCGAGGAGTTGCCACCCACTTGGAAAAGACAGACAGGGGCGCGTGGCGTTAGCAGGGCCATGCGTGGGACTGTCGCAGGTACCAGGCCTGCGGTCCCACAGGCCATGGGAAACGTCTGCGGTGGGACTGTGGGGGACCCCCAGAGTCGGAGCTGCGGGAAGCCCTTCGTACCTGCGTGCACAGCTTCGAGGGTCCCACGGTAGCCTTGGGTGGGAGACCGGGGCGAGAGGCTGTGGCCATGTGTGGGTGAGCCAGGGCCGCTTTCCCCCGACGACAAGGAGCGGTTCAGGGACGAGAGGCTGCGGCTCGTGTGCAGCAGGGAGGCCTGCTTGGTGATCTTCCGGAACAGGGAGCTCCTCTTCCGGCTGCAGAGGTGAGGTCAGGGCTGAGGGGTGCCCCTCAGCCAGCACACCACATGCCTGCCAGGCCCTAGGCGGGCCCAGGGCCGAACCCCTGATGGCTGCCAGCTCACCTCTCCTGGCCCTCCTTGCCCCGGCTGCGCTTGCTCCTCCTGGCCATCTTGGCCCTGTAGCTGCCTTTTCGTGCTGGTCCCACCTTGATGGATGTGTTCTCCAGGGGTGTGGTTGAAATGGACACCTTGTTTCCACTCTGTGAGGGCAGAGTGTGAGGTTGGCAGCCTCGGGGAGGAGGGTCTGCACACCCCCTCCCCTGTGCCCCAGCACGGCCCTCAGCCCAGCTCCCCTCACCCATGGGGAAGGAGCTCCCCGGGGTCCCTGTGGGCGGGGTGGTGGTCAATGAGGCTGCTGCACCATACCCATGTGTGTGCATGTCCCTGCATCTGTCCTTGGGGCCAGCTGTGTGTGCCAGGCCCTCCCATATCCCTGCGGACACAATCAGGAAGAAGAGAGGGGCACACCCCGCACGAACCTTCAAGATCAGCTCCACCACCTCCGTGTGCACCAGGCCATGCACTGGCTCCCCGTTCACGTGCGTGATGAGGTCACCCTGGCGCAGCCCTGCCTCGCTGGCTGGGCCTCCATCCTCCACGTGCTGCAGCCGGGAGAGCAGTGCTCAGCGTACGTCCGCACAGCCTGCACTTGTCTGTGCGACTCCGGGAGCAGCATGGGCAATGCCGGAAGCAGGGACAGGCAGGTTCCGGTGAGGGGTGGAGTGGGGTGGGAGAGTGAGGAAGTCAAGGACAGCAGGTCTGGGGGGCCACACTTACCCACACCATGTGGTGCACGGTGTAGACATCAGAGTCACCCATGTAGACGCGAATGGCCCGCAGGGTGAAGCCGTACTTCTTGCCAGCTCGGTGGATGATGATGGGAGGCCTCAAGCTGCCAAGGGCTGGCAAGAAGTCCCTGCTTGGAGAAGAGTCCCTGGACGAGGGATTGGATGACTGGGAGTGTGGGGACATGGGACTGGCCAGCGGAGAGCAGGCATGGTGCTCTGCAGAAAGAGAAGCAGAGGTCCAGCGGTCAGACACCAGGCAGGTCCATCCTGGTGCCCGTCCAGAGCTAGCTGTGCACACCTCGTCCCTGCAGCGCTCAGGGGGGACAAGTGACCAGGTGTGGCAGCTGGCAGCTATGTGTCAAGGATGACTTAAGTTCTTCATGCTTACTTAAAGATCACAGTTACCCTATGAATTAGCCATTGTTAACATTTGTATTTCGGGGGGCCAATATCTTGGCTCAATGGGTTAAGCTACCACCTGTAACACGAGTATCCCATAGGGGTGGCTGGGTAAAGTCCTGGTTATTCCATTTCTGATCTTGTTCCCTCTTACTGTGCTTAGCAAAGCAGCAGAAATGACCCAATTGCTCGGGCCCCTGCTACCCACATGGCAGACCCAGATGGAGTTTCTAGCACTGCCAGTGCCTGGCGAGCCCCAGCCACTGAAGCCTTTGGGGGAGTGAACCAGCAGATGGATGATCTGTCTCTGTGCCTCTTTGTATGTAATCCTGCCTTTCAAATAAAACCCAAAAACAAAACCCCCTACTTTTTGATGTGAACTTGAAGCTTAAAAAGGCTGGGCAACCTGCTTGAGGTCCACAGCCAGTCAGCCATGGAACCAGGTTTGCTCACCAGCTCTTGGCCTCAAAGCCCACACTCACTGTGCACAGCTAGCCTGCCTTTTGGCAGGTGCTCATCTCCTGAGACCTCAGAGGTCACAGCCAAGGGACACATGGTCTCTCAGACACCTGTGCTTGGTAAGCATTCTCTCTCTGGGTCCACAGATTCCACAGCCTCTCAAGCTCCCCAGCGGGCCTTACCTGCAGGAATGAGAAGGGACAGGGCTGTGGCCGAGGCAGACTTGATCACTTTGTTGATAGGGCGTGTGGCACGCTTCTCCAGGGAGTCCCCAGAGAGCAGCCGGTGGCGGGCCCTCCGCACAGCCAGGTCACTGATGGCCTTGGAAGTGGCTCCCTCAGCCAGGTATGGGGTGCTGTGGCCCCGAGTCTCCATGGCTATGGGTCCAAGAAAGCAATGAGACCCAAGATGCGGGGAAGCCCCCTCCATGCAGTGGCCCCCCAGTCTAGGCCCTCTGGTCACTGGCTTGGCCATACCTGGACTGGGACTACAGCTCTGGCCAGCAGGCTCCTCTTCCAGCTTCAGCCACCGCTCCCCAGGCCGCTCAGGGACAGGCCCAGGTACCCCCTCCCCAGATGGGGGTGTCAGGATCCAGATACCGTCCTGCTGCTGCCGCCGGGGGGCACTGCTGACCTCCTCAGGCCCCTCAGGGAAGCGAGGCACATCCAGCAGGCCTGAGCAGCGGCGCCGCACCGTCATGGGAGGACTGGAGTCACTCTCCGTGTGCGAGGACTCAGACACTGAGAGCCGTTTCCGCAATCTGGGGCAACATGAGGCCTGGCATGAGCTGGCCTGGCATGTGCTCCCTGTGCTCTGCTCAGGCTCCTCAGGCACACCTCGTGAGCCACATGGTGTCCGAGCCCCTCCCGAGCTCTGCCACAGCCAACGGAAGGCCAAGCCCCTGCCCTGGGTACACCCCGGTGCTCACATCTCAGGGGAGCCAATGATCCAGCTCCGGTCCCGGCCCTTGAGCCCTGCCAGGCTGTCTGAGCGGTCCTCCTTCTCCTCGCTCAGGCTGCGCTTGGTTGGGGGTGGCGTCCGGCGCTCCTCAAGCAGTGAGAGCCGCTCCATGCTGCTGTACACCTGCGGGCGGGGATGGCTGCTCCTGATGGCCACAGCCCCCAGGCGCAGAAAGCACCCCGGCATCTGGCATGTGCACATCTCCTGGCATGAGCCAGCCTTTTCTTCCCTCCCATGAGGTGCAGGTGCAAGGGAACAAGCCAGTGGTCTCCTTGTGGGGTCAGGCACTACGGAGCTGTCAGGAGATCCACATTGTGCAACCCCAGCCCTCAGCTCTTTCTAGACCCAAACCTTCCCCAGACCATGTCCCTCAGTGTGTCCTCTTTCCCAGGCATGCAACGGGGCCCCTCAGCCAAACCTTGTTGAACCTTGGGGAGCAGGAGGAGAACTGGCGGATCTCTAAGCAGCCATCCTCACTCACTTCCTCCTCGTCCTCAGAATCCACGTGGTGGTACCGCTCCGAGCGTGCTGGGGACAGATGACAGCTCCTGTCAGCGCCTCTGCCGGTGGTCTTCCTGTGACCTCATCAGACCTCAGCAGGACCCTGAGAAGTCAGTTTCTCCCAAGGCCAAGTTCAGTGTGCACAAGGCCCTCTGGGAAAACAGGCAGGACCCGCACTCCACCCCACCGCAGCAGTAGTCTTACTATCAAAGTAGCTGGTGTCGTCCTCCGACTCCAGTTGAGGGATGAATTCAGCCTTCTGCCTAAGAAGGCCTGTCCAGTCCAGCCCCGTGAAGAACGGGTGTTGTTTCACCTCGCAGGCACTCCCTGCAGACAGGGCGGGCACGGGGCAGGATGGCAGTGAACAGGGCACCAGGACTCGGCAGCTCTGCCTGAAGCCTCATCCCCCTCCCTGCCCCCAACGCCTGGCCTCAGGACCTGAGGACTGCCTGGATCTGAAGCTGTGCCCCAAGGTGCAGATGCAGCTCTGTCCTGGACCGCTTTGGTGGGGAGGAAGACTGCGGGCCTGGCCTACCTGTGCCCAGTCTCTCCAGAGGGTTCTGGTGCAGCAATTTGGAGGTGAGGTCCTGGGCATCTGGGGGCAATGCATCGTCACCCTCGGGCCACACAATCTCATCTGCAGTATGAGGGGACAGGGCGGGGAGATGGAGACAGAGCAGGGAGATGTCAAGAAGGTCCTAGGGCCCTACCCAGAACCCTAGGAGGTCCTGCCTGTGACGCTGGATTCTGTCCTTCCCAGGGAGCCTTCTACACCTCAGCCCTTGGCTGGTGCCCTGTGGGTCAGTGAGGACTCCTGTCCCAAGGTACCAGCTTGCTCTGCCTTTGAAGCACCGGCATGCACTCGCAGGAACATCCACATGGGTAAACACACAGAAGCAGCCCGGGGCACACAGGACACAGGTGCATACACAGGTACCCCCCACCCTCTAGACACCCATATGGGAATCCAGAACAAGAACCCTCCAGTCTCCCAGAAGCATGCATGTGTCATATCTGTGCACCCAGAGTATCTCCTGACTGGGCCACATGATGGTACCTACCACTGATCACCTGCCCAAACAGCTCCTCTGGCGTGTCTCCAAAGAAAGGGACGCAGCCCACCAGGAACTCGTACAGGATGATGCCCATGGCCCACCAGTCCACGGGCTTCCCATAGCCCTGCCGCAGGATCACCTCAGGCGCTATGTACTCTGGGGTCCCGCACACCTGAGCAGAGAGGCCAGGCCGGCTTAGCACTGGGAGGCAGCACTCTGACACGGTGGCTGGAGGGGTGGGGATGCCTCCGGAGCAGAAAACTGTCTGAGTAAAGACCCAGCTCCCTTGTTAATATGCTAAGCAAGGTAGGGGCTGATGTGGTAGTGCAGCACACTAATCCACCTGCCAGTGCCAGCATCCTATATGTGCACTGGTTCTAGTCCCGGCCGCTTCACCTCCCATCCAGCTCTCTGTTTATGGCCTAGGAAAGCAGCAAAAGATGGCTCAAGTCCCGGGCCTCCTGCACCTACATGGGAGACTCTGAAAGAAGCTCCTGGCTCCTGGATTTGGATAAGTCCAGTTCTGGCCACTATGGCCATTTAGGGAGCAAACCAGTAGACAGAAAACCTCTCTTTCTCTTACTCTGCAAAAAAAAAAAAAAATCTGCCTTTCAAATAAAAATAAACAAATCTTAAAAAAACAAAAGCAAAAACAAAAAATAACCAATGGAGCCTGAGCATGAGTTGCAGCTCTCAGTGGGTGAGTTTCCATAGTGAGTCCAAGGTCTAACTGTAACCTACAGCCATCTCTCCCTGCACCCCTGACAGCCTTTCCTGCCCTCTGCTCTCCAGGTCCCCAAGGGACAGACTAACCAGTCTCATCACTATGGCAGGGACTGTAAAACCTACAGCCTCAATGGTCAACTCCAGAGGCAACTCCAGGAAACCAGGCCCAGCTTGGTGGCACCTGGAGCTGTGTGCTGAGCAGGATACGCCCCTCTGGAGCGCTCATGCTCGCCTCAGGCTGGCAAGTCCCGAGTGCTTCCAAGGAAACTGCTAAGTCACATACGTTCTTCTCTATACGTGCTGAGGAAGAAGGGGACTTGGGATTTTACATCCTCATGATTCTCATGGCCCATCCTATTACCCAAATGAGCTGCTAACTCAGTGCTTCCCCAGACCCAGACAGTGGAGCAGACAGGAACCCCTGGCCTAGCATCTGGCCCAGGGCGGAGTAGGTGCCACCAAGACGCTGGATTCGCCCCACAGCATTCAGCCTTCCTTCCTCACCTGCTTGTCCAGGAACTCCCGGGCATCCTTTTCGATGTGGCCCTCGTACAAGTTTGTTGTCAGACTCATGAGGCCAATTTTAGAAAGTCCAAAGTCGGTGAGCTTGATGTGGCCCATGGATGTAATCAGGAGACTGGGAGAGCAGAGAAACCAAACAAAACTGGAGTTACTGTGGTTTTCAAGAGTGCCAGCCTATATAGATGGCCAGTGTGCCCCTCCAACTGTCCAGAGGGGACTATGGGACAGAAACAGGTGGCTTCAGCAGAGAGGCAGGCAGCAAGTAAGGAGCTCTGGCTGCACATACTACTTTCCACAGAAACAGTGGACCTGCTCCACCACTTATTTTTGCTCCTGCTGTCTGTTCCACTTGGGGGCAGGGGTCAGATGGGGAACAGCCTCCCTCGTATAGAGCCAAGGTCAGCCCCCAGTAACCAGTGCATGGAAAAGAAGCATGGCGCATCATCTTGTTCCATGTCCACAAGCTGGTTCAGAAGAGTGTGTTGGGAGAGACTGGAAGCGAGATGCCCTCATGCACTGCCCCAGTCTCCCACTTCTGTGTGGCAGGTCTCACTCCACCTGTCCCTCCCTTTTATTTTTAAGACTTTTCAATCAGTCTCTGGCAAAGCCATGCCTCCCCTGTGCTCCCTCTTCTCAATGAGCAGTTTCTGTTATCCACTCAGTGCTAAGTGCCTGAAAGATGTTCTGCCCCTGAGATGTTTTCTGGAGTAACACCCCACAGAGGCAAGTATCAAGACCTCTCACTTTAGGGAGGGGGCACATGAGGCTCAGGGATATGGAAGTAGCAGCTGACACTCTGACTTAGCAAGCAGAGGAGCAGCTGTGTGAACCTGAGTCCACCTCAATCCACACTACTTCGTGCCAAGCTGGGAAAGCTGGATGGCATCCCTGATTCTTCCCGTCCCTCGTTGCCACATCATCTCACTTATCCTTGCTGTTTGCCAGCATTCTCCACTGCAGGCTCCATCCCGACTGCGCTGGGATGGTGCAGGACTTGTTAGTTGTCTCTCTGGCCTGGTCTCTCCCACAGAGGTCTCCCTGTATGTGTACCAGCATTGTGGCCCCTTCTACACTGAAACCAGTCTGCGTGTCTCTTCTATGCCATCTGTGGCTCCCAGAGCTCCGCACATGAAGCTGAAGCTAACAGAGGGCTCTTCATGACTGACTCCCTTCCCACATCCTGGGCCTTTTTTTTTTCTCACCGACTCTATGAACTGCAGCTCGTCCTAAGAGGGGTTTTCAAACTCACGTGTGCTCCTGCACAGGCTCTGCTATCTGAGCATAGAACCTGAGCTCCTGTCCTACACTACAACCACATCCCATAGCCCAGACAGGACCTGCTCCCATCCCCACACTACAACCACATCCCACATCCCGGGCAGGATCTAAGCTCCCAACCATATCCCACATTGTGGGCAGGCCTTGTTCCTGCCCTCAACTACACTACCATCCCAAATGCTGGGGCTCTTCTAAAACCCAGAATCTGGATTTTGGCACACAGCAGGTGTCAGCAAACATCAAAACAGCCACTCAGCCATCTACTGAAAGTGCTTCTTTGACGTAGCTTCTTCACCAGAGCTCCTCTGACTCTTGGGGGTCACTGAAGCCTTACAGTGCTCTGCCAGATCCTATGCAATGACCTTGCACTTGCTTAAGTGGACATGCACTGAGTAATGTTTCCTAGCAGTTATCCTGGAACAGATTCCAGTGTGCCATTGCTTCCAGCCATCCAGAGACCCAAGGGGGGGAATGGCACAAGGGCCTGGACTGTGGGCATACTTGTCAGGCTTGAGGTCACGATGCACAATGCCATAGTTGTGCAGGTACTCCAGAGCCAGCACAGTTTCTGCGAAGTACAGACGCACCATGTCCACAGGCAAGGCCCCGATGTTCTTTAGCAGCGTCGCACAGTCTCCTCCTGCAACGAGGTCACTGTAAGGGCAGTGTCTAGGTCCCTGCTCCAGCCAGTTCCCAGCATGCACTACCTGCTGCTGGACACTAAGTGCTGCCTCTGCTGCTGGCGTGGGTTCGGGGCAGGGCTGAGGGAAGGGAAAGCCACAGGAAATGCTGGAGGCCACCAAAGCCACTGCTGAGGTCAGAGAGGGGAAGTATCCAGGCTTCTCCATCTTTTAGCTGACGTCTAAGGATCAGACCACTTTTTAGAGTAGAAGCAGGCCTGAGTGAGTCTAACATTTGTTCACTTCTCTCCATCCTACTGGCTTCTCCTAGTCTGAGTAGCACAGTGAGCTCCCAGCACATACTCAATGACTCAGAAAGGGGAGTCTTGTTCAGCTTCAACCTGAGACAGGCAGAATTTTGGGAAGCACTGCACAACAGCAAGAGGGGGCAGAGAAGCCCAGCAGCAAATCTACTGCTCCTCTCCAAAAATCTTCTAGCCATTCTCAGAGGCTCATGTGTGGTTTCAAGGGATGTCGTCTCTGTAAGAAATCAGCCAGGGCCCAGAGGCAATCATCCCAGCATCTGAGTTTGGGCTTTTGCGGTTCTACTGTCTCCTTGTGCTATTTGATGCCAGCAGGAGTAGCTGTCAGCCCTGAATGTTGACCCCTCCACAAAGATGCTAGTCCCTAGGTCAGGGTAACTCGGACATGTCTTGGCCTCCAGGCCAGGCCACTCTCCCCAGCACCTTCAGTACCTTCTACATACTCCATCACCATGCACAAGTGGCGCTTGGTCTCAAAGGAGCAGAACATGCTGACCACAAAGGGGTTCTCTGCGAAAGTCAGTATGTCGCGTTCCACAAAGGCCTGCTGGATCTGGTTGCGCAGGATCAGGTTTTGTTTGTTGATCTTCTTCATGGCGAAGCGCTGCCGTGTGGACTTGTGGCGCACCAGGAACACAGCCCTGGGAAACAGCCCAGCCCAGCCCAGCCCCCATGGGCCCTCAGCACCTGTGCTCCCCAGCACCCACCGCCTCCCGCTACACTGCAAAATGCAAAGAATAGAGGAGCAGGGTGTACACTTTAGGAGGAGGGATCTAGAACCCTGGTCCACAGAACTCTTATCTTGTTTTTCACCTTATTTTTATTTACTTGAAAGGCAGAGAGACAGACAGACAAAAAAGAGAAAGAGAGAGGGAGGGAGAATCTTCTATCTGCTGGTTCATTTCCCAAATGCTCATAACAGCCAGAACTGGGCCAAGGTGAAAAGAGGAGCCTAGAACTCCATCTGGCAGCATCTTAGTTGGTGTGCCATACACTTGCCCCTAGTTCTTATATCTCCTGATGGAACACATAGCTCAGAGCTTTCCCAGAGCCCAGGGAGAGAAGAAAGGCTTCTAAGACGGGCAAGAATCCCATCTGAGAGGGAATAATCCTCAGATGTCAGGAAACTTATCACTTGGCCTCATGAGGAGGCTTCAGGGAGCAAGAGGATCTACCCCAATGCTGCCAGAGGATCGAGCACTCCATTTCTCCTCATTTGAGAAAGAAGAGACCATAGTCTGATCTAGCTCCAGGTTCAGTCACACCCTGACCCCCCGATCCTGTCTTTACCCATAGGCGCCATTACTGATGAGCTTGATGGTTTCGAAGTCCTCCTCTGAGGGGGTCTTTTTAGACGGCAGAGATGCTCCTCGACCCTAGAAGACAAGTGACAGGTGGGAGGCAGGAAGGCCTGTGTGTGTGCTCGGGAAGCTGCTGCCTTCTGCCCTGCTCCCTGGGAGTGGAATGGCTTCTTGGTGCTGGCAGCCACCCCTCCTTAGGTACTCTCTTCAAGAGAATATGGAGCTCAGGCTTCAGGACTAGAGTGCAGGGTCTTTACCTCGATGGAATCATCTGTTTCCGGAGTGTCAGGACTGTCATAGCTGCTCAGATGAACCATTTCTAGAAATAGAGCAAGGACACAGGGAACAGCGTGTGTGGCAGTGTCAGGCATCTCAGCAGGATCCTCAGACCACACAGTGTGTACGTGAGCAGGCCTGCATGCTTTCTGCATCAGATGCCGTCCTGTGGCCCCAGGCACGGCTTCTCCAGCAGCCAATCAGCCACATACTACTGCTGCCCCTGCTTCTAGATGCTCAGTGCCATTCACAAGGCTTGGCCAATCTTATAAAATCATTTCTCAAACTTGGGACATTTCCTGGAAGGCAGGCTGGGCTCAACATTCCACTTCTGTCACCAAAACTGCTTGGTGTGATGAGGCTGGAAAGCAGGTGTGGCAGGAGCAGGACAGCACCAAGTGGGCCCCCAAACCCCTTCAAGTCCATTGGGGATCCCTCCAAATCCCTGAGTTGGACTGTCCCAAAGACACAGAAAGTTCTGTGGTGTAGCCAGCAGCAGAGGAGGTGGTCATTTTTGACAATGTAATTGGGTTCCTCTGCTGTTAATTTTTTTTGGGTGGGGGTGGGCTTGAGCCAACTCAGTTAGCTGGGCCCAAGGCCAAACATGCGGGGACTGTACCAAGTCAATTTAAGCGACAACACTGAAGGCATCAAAGACAGGCCACAAGGGCCTTCCATAGACCTGAGGCCCTGATGCCATGTGGCCATGTCCCATTCAACTCCCTCTTCTCTGAGTGATCTTTTGCCCTTAGAACTGGTAGGTAGTGGGGCCTCTTTGCAGCCATGTGACAACATGCTCACCCTCGAGAGGATCCCGTGTGAGGCCCAGTTGACTAATGATGTAGCGGGGAATGTCACATTTAATCCCATGTCCCTCTTTGGCGTGGCCCTCAGCTGCTTCCAACAGGTGGTAGAACTCCTCAGGGTCAAACTCCTATACCAAAGGAGAGAGATAGTCAGTGATGAGAAACACAAGTGAAGACTGCTCTTTCTGCAGTTGTACAGTATATAACAGAGGGGATGGACAAGATCTTCTCATTGGAACAAGACACCTGAATGCCCAGGAACATGATCCAGCGACCATAGTGGGGACAAAGCTGTCTCAAAGGACACCTACAGACTGGACATACAAAGTATATGTCACCTTCACAGCAACTAGAGCTTTTCACTCCAAGAGTGCTCAGCTGTTTACCCAGGTCAAGCCTTGCACCAGCCCAGTCAAGGGCAATCCTGGAGCACACTCCCCTGTCGTACACCAGAGCTTCCACTCACAGCCCAAGTGGTGCACACTCATCCTCAAATAGTAACTGTGCACCTCTCCTCATGCCAGGGACTGGAGAGTCACATGTCCAACACACCACAGTCTTCTACATGTAATAACCGCAGTCTTATTTACTGTGTGTATACCATGTGCCATGCTCTGGGCATTTGGTGGGAAAAGCAGGCTCACAGGGATGGACTGACTTGTCCATAGACACAGACAGGAAGGACCAGACAAGCAGCAATCAGACCTGGACTCGACTCCAAGCTCATGCCTGGCTACAGATTTCATGCTCTGAAGGTGGGGGCCCTGGGCAGACCACAACCCTTGCCTCCTCTCTGAAACATGCTTTCAGTCCCTCTGCCCTCATTACTTGGAGAACTAACTGTACTGTGGCCTTTATAGATAATGTCATATGATTTACATACAACACATTCTATGGGATATAAAATACATCCTGACAAAACTTGCTATAAACCTGACCTTTTGCATTCTTACCTAAACTTTCTGGAGGTTCAGGGGCTTAGAACAATGCAAACCCCTGCCTGAGCTGGGGATTCATCAACCTCCGTGATTCTGTACCATCCAGGCCTATCACGCGGGCACGCAGAACTCCACTGAGTGCTCTGCTCAACGTGCCTTCATGGCACACTTATCTTCACCCTGTGGACCATCTGAAGGAGGCGTGTCCTGTGCACCTCTTCACTGGGTTCCCACATACCTTGAACTGACCCCAGTTGCAAAGTATCTTGCAATAGACTTACAAGGATTCTTAAGACTCCTTAACTCAACTATGGAGGTCAGATACATTCTTTCATGTGTGCCTTCTGTGTCTACACAGCTACTCAAGAAAGGCAGCTGTGTGGTGAAATGAAGGACTCAATCTGTGCACACTAAGCTGGCCTCTATCCTTCAGTGTCTCTGGCTCCCACAGTCCCCACTGTTAGGGTCTGCTCAGCGTGGGACTGGGCCGAATACTGTTCCCTGTTACATCCTTAGAGACTGATGTTTGTACTCACAGAAGTCTGTCTGATTCCCCAAAACTTATGAATGGTAGAGAAATAAAGGCCCAGGAACACACAGGAAATAGCAGTGAGTGCCACATGGCTTTGCTATCTCTTCAGCTCCCTGGTTCCTCCAAGTCTTCCCATCTTCCCGAGTCTACTCACCAAGCATTCCAGGAGGCGGGCAGGCCGGGCGATGATAATCATCAGCTTTTTCACTAGCTGCATCACAAAAGCCACCTCCGAACTCTCTGAGCGTTCGTGAGCCTGCGGAGGAGACCCGGGTTGCTGGAACAATCAATCTCCTTGGCCTGACGGGGACACGGTGGGGTTGCGCAGGTCCGGGGAGGACAAAGCCGCTTGGGGAGAAAGCACCTGGCAGTGCAGGGTGCTTTGCAAAGCCCAGGACTGCAAGTGTGCCCCTCAGAAACCATCTGAACTTTGGGAATTTACACAATACTATGCACAGACCTGCAGAAACACATCTTTACCCATCCTCCATTTGACAAGCTTCACTCACCCCCCAGGTCCCAGCGCAGGGGCTACACTTAATGGAGCCTTCACTGATGTTTGCTCCCCACCCCAGATGGACCATAAGGAAAAGGATTTTATCACAGCTGGGGAATGACATGGTGGCATTTCAGGGAGGCCACTCTGACTGCAGTGGTGAGAATGCGCTCTGCACAGGAAAACGGTGAATGCATCACTAGAAGAATGAAGATGTAAAAGGCCCAAGACAGTAAGAGACGTGGCAAACAGAAAGAGCTGCGTCATTTCAGAGGCACATCTGAAGGAAGGAAGAAGTGGGGACAAAAGGTACCGCAAGTTCAATTTCAAGGAAATTTCAGTCATTCCATTCATGAGAAGACAAGCAGCTGAAATATTCAAAGCATACATTACAGCTGGTTGTAGAGACAGAGGCAAAGGCAGAAAAGGTAAGTCCAGTTTTAGATGTGAACACTTGGGGTGCCTACACAAGGCACTTCGCAAGGCCCAGGAGCCTTTCTCTGTCTGAACACTGCTCTGACTTCCAGGAGGGTCCTACTTTGTAATTACAGCTGCACCCTCCCTCCCTCTTCAATGGCCATTCAGCGAGGATCATTTGCCCAGAAACTTGAAAATGGATGGAAAGACAGTTGTTAACGACAATATAGTAAAATGCTATAGTTTAAATGTGGGTGAAAAGGGAAGGGCCTGTTGGTTATGGGACAGAGAAAGATCAGCATGGGGACCAGAGTTGAGAAAAAGAGAAGAAATATATGCTGAGCTATCCCTTCCAGCCTCTTCTTGGGGCCTGGTTAGCTTGCTTTCTTCAAATCTTTAAGATCCTCCCTTCTTATCCCCAAGAGTTTTCCTTCACTGCTTAAACCACTGAGTCAGACTTATATTACCTGCAACATAGACAATGGGAGGAAATCAAAGTAGGGGGAGCCTTGGGGGCAGCTGGGGTGCAGCTGTCTCTTGGAATCCATGGGGATGGGTTCCAGAGCTTCCTCAGACACCCACACATGCAGATGCCCAAGTCTCTTATAGAAAAGGTTGTAACAATTGCGAACAACCTAGGCATAGTCTAGATTATTCATAATATCTCATACATGCAATAATATAAATGTTATATCAACAGTTGCTGGACTACATTGCTTAGGGAATGATGGCAAGGAAAAACATCTGTGCAGGCTTCATACAGACAGTTCTCATCACCTGTTGTAGCAGTTCCATCATTCTATTTCTGATCCAGCGCCCAGTTAACAGCCTGGGAAAAGCAGCAGAAGATGGTCCAAGTGCTTAGGCCCCTGTCACCCACAGGGGAGTGAACCAGCAGATGGCAGATCGCTCTCTGACTCTGATTTTCAAATAAATAAATCTTTAAGAAATTATTTAAAGTACTAGGTATGAAAAGGCCGAGCAGTTGGTAAAATTTTGTTTGTTTCTTTAAGACTTTGTATAAATATTGTCAACTCTGGAAGCCCTGTCCCCATCGAACACGCACACACATGTATAAAAAGAAGCTGCTCCCCTTTCCACATTCTCCTGACACTCTGCTCACCCACATGGTCTCATCTCTCTAGCTATACTACAGGGCTGTGTGAGCACAAAGGCAGTGTCTCTCTTCTTTTCCTTCACATGCTAGGCCCTTAATTGTGCCTCACCTACAGCAGACATCAGTGTTGGTGGAGTGTTTGAGAATACATGATCTTAGGCTCTGGAGTAAGATGAAACTGTCTTTGGGTTCTAGCTTTGCTGCTTAAGGAAGTGGCTACCGGGCCCGGTGGTGTGTTCTAGCGGCTAAAGTCCTCGCCCTGCATGTGCCGGGATCCCATATGGGCGCCAGTTCTAATTCCAGCAGCTCCACTTCCCATCCAGCCCCCTGCTTGTGGCCTGGGAAAGCAGTCAAGGATGGCCCAGTCTTGGGACCCTGCACCCGCATGGGAGACCTGGAAGAAGTTCCTGCTTCCCAGCTTCGGTTCAGCACAGCACCCGCAGTTGCGCTCACTTGGGGAGTGAACCATCAGACGGAAGATCTTCCTCTCTGTCTCTCCTCTGTATATCTGACTTTGTAATAAAAATAAATCAATCTTAATTAAAAAAAGAAAAGAAATTGGCTACCTGGGGGATAACTGAGCCTTTTAATTTTTAAAAGGATTTATTTATTTATTTAAAAGGCAGAATGCAGAGAGACAGAGAGGTCTTTCATCTGCTGGTTCATTCCTAAATAGGAGTTTCTTCTGGTTTCACACATAGGTGCTGGGGCCCAAGCACTTGGGTCATCCTCTGCTTTCCCAGGAGCCCATATGGGATGCCGGTGCTGCAGGCAGCAGCTTTGCTAGCTACAGCACAGTCCAGCCCCTAACTGAGCCTTTTAAAACTTTAGTTTCTTCATGTGTATATACTAGCATTTTCCCTACAAAGTTGTTGATTTGATAAATTAAATGAGGTAACATAGTTTCTAGCATACTAAGTGCTCTGTGAATGTTTATGATTTTTACTACTGTAAGTGGAGATGTGATTGTTTCATTTTTCAATTTAACACCACTGACTGATGCCCTATGACTCTCACGATAAAAATCTAAAGATCCTCTCATGGCCTGTATGACCTGGCCCCCAGTCTAGCTTATCTGGCTGGCCTAGTGCCCTTTCCTCACAGGTGTCCCTGAGCTTTACTGCAGTGCACCGGGTTCTGGTACACCAGGGAGAGGCTGTTCATGCTGTTCCCGTTGCTCAGTTAACTCTTGACACTCGCCAACCAATGGGGGTAAGAGCTCAGGGTAGTGTGTGGCACACAATCGCATCAACAGCTCTCAGCCGCTATTGTGACTGTAAGTATATGTTGTTGGGTTTGTACGCCAGTGCTAATCTCTGAGATAGAGCATGTACTGAACTTTTTCCTGCATTCCAGAAGCTGAGCAGACTAAGGAGCAGATGAGCAGGCTTACTTTGAATGCAGTGCTCTTTCAACTCCAGAGGCAGTCAATCTAAGAAAACGTCTGACAGCTTTGGGCAGGCCTCTAAGTTCAGCAGGTCAGCTCACCCTCAGGTATGGCAGGAACACGGGGTAGAAGTGGGAGGCGCTCAACTGGACCCTTTATCTAATATAGGGTCCCTGATTCCTAAAGGTCTCTGGAGCAACCCTGCCACCAGCTGGGAAACTGTTAGGAAGTAATTCTGGAGCAAAAACACATGACTGAATTTCATAGAATTTCAGCTATCTAAAGTCACATGTATACTATGCTTACATTCAAATATTACTCCTGCAATCAGAAAAATGCTTTCTTAAAGATTTATTTATTTTTATTGGAAAGGCAGAGTTACAGAGAGAGAGAGAAAGAGAGACAGAGAGAAAGATCTTCTGTCTGCTGGTTTACTCCCAAAGTGGCTGCAACAGCTGAAGCTGAGCCGATCTGAAGCCAGGAGCCAGGAGCTGCTTTTGGGTCTTCCACATGGGTATAGGGTCCCAAGGATTTGGGTCATCTTTGACTGCATTCCCAGGCCACGAGCAGGGGAGCCGGATAGGAAGTGGAGCAACCAGGACACAGTAGAAGATGGCTCAAACCTTTGGACCCTGTACCTGTGTTGGGTACCTGCAAGAAGCTCCTGGCTCCTGGGTGCAGACTGGCTCAGCTCCTGCCATTGCAGCCATTTGGGGAGTGAACCAGTGGACGGAAGGCATTTCTCTCTGCCTCTCCTTTTTCTGCAAATCTGCCTTTCCAATAAAATTTTAAAAACCAGAATAGAAAAAGGAACAATTTGTTCACTTACATATGAAAAAATCTACCTTTTGACAAAAACTCGTGATAATTTTATCTGAAAAGCACAGTGACAGAGAGGGATATACAAGCACACACACACACACACACACACACACACACACACACAGAATGAGAGATGGGGGAGAGAGAGAAACAGATTTTGTTTTGTTTTTAACCCAAACTGGTACAATCCAGGGAGTCAGAAATCCAGAGCTCCATCCAAGTCTCTTGCCATGGGTGGCAGAGACCTGAGAACTTGGGGTACCATCAACTGCCTTCTTAGCTACCTTCCTAAGAACGTTAGCAGGAAGTGGAAGAGTGGTGGAGATTCAATCTGGCACAGTGATACTGGACACAGGAGTCCTGCATGGTGGCTTAACTCACTGTGCCACCACGCATGCCCTCAGGCTCATCTTTTTTTTTTTTTTTTAAACACAGAGCATTCTATTTAATCACCAGCCCTGGGCTCTCAGCTCAGTCACTACTATTTTAGGAAGAGGTCCTGTGTCAAGCGGTGCTAAGGGGCTCTCAACTAGGAAATTCTCTGGTGAGACACATCCCTCATCTACAAATTGTGTCAAGAGTGCAGTATGGGACCACTCTGATCTCAGCGGGAAGGCACTTGCCTGCCTTATTTGACAGGCTGAAAGCAAGCACTAGGAGTTGAAAGTGTTAAGAACACAGGATGCTCCAATCCTGGCCATTGTTTCACCTTGCACTGGAGTGTATCAGTTCTCACTAAGTAAAGAAAATCCCCCCTTAGACAACTCACCATACCAACACATAAGCCCACAGGATAGAGCTTAGCTGAAGAAAAACAGCTGCAAGACTCTGCTCAAACTAGTAATTCTAGCCAAAAAAGGCCCACAGCAGCCCTAAGGACCACGTTTTGGCTCTGGATAACCAATCTCTTAGCCAGATACTTGTATTCTATCAATGTTAGAGACTCAGGTAGAGTGATACAGTTTTGAATTAAGAAAATAATGGGCCTTTAAAACTGATTTTCTGACATCAAGCAGTCCTCTTCCAGTGAGGCAGGGGCTGGGGAGGAGAGGAGGGGAGGAATGTCTGCCCATCAGCACCACACTGAGGGTGACTTGTGGACATGACCAAGGAAGCACAGTGGCCCACGGGCCTGGGATGACCGGAGCTCTGTTATTTTTGCTCCTGGGTGGGATCACTGCAAGGAGGCTCACAGGGGCCCCTGCACAGACACTCACATCTTGCAGCAGCTTCTCCAAATTCTCCTGAAGTTCGTAGAAGTAGTGTGACGTAATGAGGCCATTCCGAGATTTATCCAAGCAGTCTCGGGCCATCTCAATCACCTGGTGGTGAATGAAGCTCAGGGCTCCGTCTGCTAGGGGCAGCACGCTGTCTGGAGTGTTGGAGGCAATGAACTCTGCCAGCCGTTCTTCCATTTGTGCAGTGGCCTAGTAATAAAAGCAAGAAAAGTGACAGTTTCCTTTCAGTTCCGGCTCAGCTGGAGCTAAGCCTGAAGGATATGCTAAAGCCTTGGATGGGCTCCCTGTGATCGTGGCCTCCTGGTGCTGCCTGTGGAAAGTCTGATACCTAAACCAGGCAAAGTCAGCATGCCTTGTCATAGTACCCAAGGCCCTCTGTGAGCTGGCCTTGCCTATCTCCCATCACTTCCCACAGGGAATGTTCTTTTGCTCTAAGGACAAGAAAGGTTTGCTGTTCTGCTCCAGCCTGTGTTCTCTGCCTGTGCTTATGCTGCTCTCTGTGGCCAAGTCTGTCAGAGCAGCTCCTCCTCCTCGTCGACTCAGTTCTAGCATCACCACTCCTCTGGGAAGTCATTCCTGCCCCAGCTGACCAGGGATGCTCAAAGAGTATTAACCAAAGATGTGAGCTGCCTGGCTGCCAAGGACAAGCCGAGATGGGAGAGGCTGTGGAGCCCCGCAAAGCAAAACACATCTGGCTCAAAACCCTTTCATGCACTGAACCATGCAGTCAGTCAGAATAAAATGATAAAAGCACATCAGTGAATAAGCTCACAGTTGCCTGTGTAGCACTCAAGTCTTTCCTTTGCCACCAAGTGGTGTTTCTGAACTTCCAGCATGTGTCTGAACAAACATATACATATATGTGTATGTCTGTGTCTATGTCTGGGTGTGTGGAGAGGAAGAGAGAAGGTGAGTAGAAGGGAAGGAACAGTAACATGTTTTAATAAACAGCTCATCACAGGTGAATGATGTGAAGACATGCTTTGTCAACACACACAATGTAAAAGGGTGATGAGACAGCCAGTACGTAAGGAAGAGGAAAGAGGCAAAGATTTGTTTCTGGGCCATTTCAGAAGAGCTTAATGTTCAGAAATCCTCACAAACTCTTATGAGAAGTCAGAGAAGTTACACAATCTATGCAGGGTGACACTGCTGCTAACCAGGGACAGACTGGGGTGCAGCCAGTACAGCTGGCTACTGTGCTTCACTGTGAATGCCAGCAGGGACAAGCACAGGGGCTGCAGAGTACACCTGGAAGCTGTGTGGCAGCAGCTGGCCTGTGTTCAGCACAAGGACAGCCATGGGACCAGGGACTCACATCTCTCATCCTCAACAGACCCAGGCGGTCTGCATGGAAGCTGAAGAGGCCTGAGCATGCTCCTGCTCTCCAATGCTATCCCGCAGATAGAGCTGGCTGCTTTCTGCAGGAGGCTGCCCTGCTCAAAGAAACGCAACTGGGCAGCCAGGAGATGCTTGCAAACCCAAGTCATAACAGCAGTTTCTCAGCTGCCTCAGGAAAGCAGCCCACCCCCTTTCACCTGCTCTGCTGCTTGCCAGTGCAGAACCCAGCACTAGGAAGCAACCCTGAGGCCCCCATCTGCCCCCTTCTTGCCAGTCCGGCAGTGCTTTGCCTGGGCACTCTCTGGTGTTGTCATGAGGTGCTGCTCGGAAATCTGAATGGTATGTGAGTGCTCCCAGAGGGTGAAGCATCCAAGGGAGGGACCCGCTGAAAAGTCAGCCTTCCAACTGTCCCCACTCCTTTTACATATGGTAGATGTCTTTCTGCCATTCCCCTGTGACATCTCTCCTTCTGGGGAGTGCCTGCTGCCTCCCACCTGCCCATAGGCTGGAAGCTCCTGGGCTCCATCTTCCCCCTAGGTGCTGCCTTTAAACTGCTTCTCTGTTCTTATGGGAGGCAGCCCTTACTTCCCTCCCACCAGTCCTCCCTCTGGGGCTGGCATAGGCAGCTGTCCTGGGGGCATTACCTGTGTCCCTTTAAGTGGATCCTTACCTTAGGGAATCTTTCTTTGTACACATGATTCATCATTATTATTTCACTGTCAAAGGAAACTGGGGATCGTCCAGGACTGAGTGAGAAAGAAACAACTGTGTTATTTAGTGCTTTGAAACCATCAACGAGAAAAATGGCCATCCCCAGAGCCCCTGTTCTCCCACTGTTTTCAGGATGCACCAACTTTAGTGAATGCTGTTTCTGGGGCCTTCCTTATTTCTGTACCTCATTCAGCTCAATTTTACTATTTGTGCTGCTGAAGCCAGCGCCCTTGTTGAGCACAAAACAGTGCTACTTGGGGTGAGGCTACTTTCCTTGCACAAAGACTGCTGCCAGGGCCTGTAAAGGCTTGGGGAGGAGGCCTATGCCAAACCCACAGGTGCTTTCCTCAGATGACCTCCCTGGAGCAGGACTCTGCACTCTCCTTGTTTTGGCCAATGGGGCTGAGTACACCACAGGAGGTCTCAGTAACCATGTCAAGGCAAACCAGCACCCCAGAAAGCAAAGGAAGATTTTACTATCCAACAATTTCTCAATAAGCTGCAGCCAAGAAGGCTAACTTAGCCGCTGAAGTGGGACAAAAAAGCAAGCCAGTCCAGCCAATACTGAGTTCTGTATCTGGGTCTTCCACTAAGGGAGCCAGTATACTTTCAGACTTAATTTATGATCTTCCCTAATAATCTAAGTCTTCCTCTCTGGCTTTTGTGTGGTTCCTTCTCCTTAAAGAATTTTAATGTTTGAGTTGGGTTCTGATTAAGTTAGTGTCCTGGCATGATCATAGCTGGACTGGGAACTGTCCCTCTGGGCTTTTCTCCCTGGATTGGACCATGTTCTGCCTCCTGCGCAGAACAGGCACCACATCTTCAACAGCAATACTGCAGGGATTTCCCCTGAGCATCACTGGTCTTCTCCACCTTAATTGGCCTAAATGGCACCAACTCCCTTTCCTCCCTGTGGGCTGCAGAGAGCACCAAGACTCAGGCACTTCTGCGCACAGGAACCCATACTCACTCATCTGTGTTTCTGATCTTTTGCACTAATGTGGCAGTCATCATGTTCAATTGTTTCTGAACCGGAACCAATCTTCTCGGCCTGCTATGATGCCCAACCTGTGGGCATTCTTCCTGGGAGATACCATTCCTTTGGGGCCCCATCTGGCGCATGTCAACCAGTTCATGACTTCCCAGGGACCCTGGAAGGCTGAACTCAGCCGTTAAAGCCAAGCTCCTTTGAACTCCATCCACTTCCTGTAGCCAGGAATTCTGGCTAATGCTAAACAGAATGGACAACTGAGAGAACTCACAGAAAAATCAGTTGTTAAGGTCTGTTTGGTCTGATAAGGTAGCTCAAGTGATCCTGAGATTTGAGATGATTATGAGATGATTAGGATGAGCACTTAATGTTTTGGGGCTGGCATTATGGCATAGCAGGTAATGCCATTGCCTGTGATGCTGGCACCCCATACAGGCACCTATTTATGTCTGGCTGCTTTACTTCTGATTCCTGGTAACAGCCTGGGAAAAGCACTGGAGCATGGCCAAGCAGGTTTTGGGCCCCTGCTGTCCTTCTGGGAGACCCAGACGTGGCTCTTGGCTCCTTCATTTGGTCTGGCCCAGTCTTGACTATTGTGATCCTCTGGAGAGTGAATCAGTGGATGGAAGATTTCTTTCTGTGTGTCTTTCTCTTTCTGTAGCTCTTTCAAATAAATACATTTTTAAAAATAAGTATTTATTTTTATTTGAAAGGCAGATTTACAGTCAGAAAGAGAAAGAGAGACAGAGACAGACAGAGAGAGAGAGCTTCCATCTGCTGCTTTATTCCTTGAATGGTTACAATGGCTGAAGTTGAACTGATCTGAAGCCAGGAGTTAGGAGCTTCTTCCAGGTCTCCCACATGGATACAGAATTCCAAGGACTTGAGCCATTCTCAACTGTCTTCTCAGGCCACAAACAGGGAATTGGATCGAAGTGGAGCAGCTGAGACTAGAACTGGCATCCATATGGGATACTTGCACTGCAAGGTGGAGGAGTAGCCTGTTTAGTCACTGAGCCAGCCCCAATCAACTTTTTTTAAAAAGTGTGTCTTCTCCAAATCAAGCAGCAGCAACATTTTTTTAAAGTTTGTTTATTTCATCTACTTGAAAGGCAGAGAGGAGAAAAGGAGGGAGAGAGTCAGACAGATGGAAACACGTTTCATCTCAGTGGAAGATTCAAATGCCCCCAACATCCTGAGCAGGGTCAGGCCAAGGCCAAAACATGGAACTCTGGCTGGGGGCCAAGCACTTCAGCCCATATTCTACTGCTCCCCAGTGCATCAGTGAGAAGCTGTATTGGAAGTGGAGTAGCTGGGACACGAACTGACTGTCCAATACGGCATGTGGGTATCTTAGTGGCTTATCCTGCTACACCACAATGCTCACTCCTAATATTGGTACTGTTGTAGCTGGCACTTTCATCTAGGGTTCTGAATATAGTTACCTATCAGAACTGATGACTTTCTTATTCTTACACTCCTTCTCCTGAACGGAGTTGGAAGAACACATGAATTGCTAACTACTTTTAGAAGAAAAGAGAGAGAGACTGTTTCACAGTGCCATCAGGCAGCCCTTGTGGTGTGGTTTAAGCTATTCCTGTAGAGTCAAAAAGGGCCTGAGGACACTGGACATGCTATCGCAAAGGCTGACAAATACACCTATACACCAAATCTGGCCTGCTGCCTGTGCCCGTAAACAAAGCTTACACAGGATCTGAGATGTTTGCATACCACTGTGGCAGACGAGCATCTGTGTCAGAGGTGTATGGCCTCCAGAGCTGACGACAGTCTCCACCTTGTCCCTTTATAGAAGCAGCACTGGTCCCTGTACAAGGTGCACAAGCTGAAGCCTCCCCACGCCCCTCACCTGAGGCTGCGGGAGCGAGGCCGCATGGCTGGGGACTGCCGTCCCTCCTCATCGGGGACACTCTCGGTGCTGAAATGCTTCGTCAGAAAATGCAGCTCATCAGCTGTAGGCTGGAAAGGCAACTGATGCAGCTTTTCCTGTGAGGAGCATGATGACTGAAAAGGAAGGCAAGCAAAACGGCATGGAAGACAAGTCCAGTGGCAGTTCAGGGATGGGAGAAGGACTGCAAACAGTCAGCCAGCCAGTCCTCTCCCCATCCCCCGCTGTGCTCAGCCTTTTCTCTAGAGGCTGTCAGAGCCAGAAACCAGAGTCTTCAGGAAGTTCACCCAGACCTTCAAGAACTGTGAGAAGCCCTAACTACCCAGGAGCCCCTGGAGGTGGTAAAAAACAGATTCTTCCACTTGCACCCAGTAAAGCTCCTGGGTACCGGAACAGGAAGTGATCGGCATATCATGCTTCTTGGTTTGGAGACTGTTCATGGGATGACCATCTGCAAAGGCATCCCTGCGTTTTCCTTCACACAGTCCAGTGAACAGGTCCACAGCACTTCCTCTGGGCTGTTAGCCAGACGCTGAGGCTGTGAGGGCAGTGCCCACACTTGATACCAGCAGTCAAGCTCAGCTAGCAAAGAGCAACATTACTTTTGTATCTGGACCTAAAGCTTAGATTTGACCTCAAAATACTCATGAATTCTACACATGGCCCAGTGGCTGAGGATTCCTGGCAAGAGTGTGACAGTCCACTGGAAGGAGTGGGCCAGTGATGCTACAGGAATCCACACCTGCAGCTCTCACCATGGCAACTCCTTCAGCTCGGGGACTGGCTAAGAGAACAGACAAGCCAGAGAGTGTTGGTCCAGTTTCACAGCGTTTGGGGATTGAGATCCATTTTTAATGAAAGCAGCAACAGTACACTGAGGGAACTCTGCTCCCATAAGGTCAATACCAAGTAAGAAATTAGCATGCCCTTGGCTAACAGTGTTTGCTTGTCCTATGGAATGCTATGTAAACTTGTAAACAGCTAACAGGAGGTTCCCACATTCTTATGATTCAGATCAAAACTACAAAAAGAATTCTCACCTAACCACAGCTAACACAAATCTGGAGTACTAATACTGAATATTGTAGGCAAAATTTGGTATTTCATAGTATTCCAACAAGCTAGAACAATGTTTAGACTCTGAAAATTTACCTAACACAAACAGATATACATATATCCTGACTCTCACTTGGTCTAAAACTGTCACTTTTCTGAGTGTTGTTAGAAAAAGGCTGCTTATTAGAAGATGATCTTAAAAAAAAAAAAAAAAGATTTACTTTTATTGCAAAGTCAGATATACAGAGAGGAGGAGAGACAGAGAGGAAGATCTTCCGTGTGATGATTCACTCTCCAAGTGACTGCAATGGCCAGAGCTGTGCCAAACCAAAGCCAGAAGCCAAGAACTTCTTCCAGATCTCCCACACGGGTTCAGGGACCCAAGGCTTTGGGCCACCCTCATTTGCTTTCCCAGGCCACAAGCAAAGAGTTGGATGGGAAGCAGGGATGCCGAGATTAGAACTGGTGCCCATATGGGATCCCGGTAAGCAAGGTGAGGACTTTACCTGCTAGGCTACTGTGCCAGGCCCTTGAGAGATGATCTTAAGCTTAATAGCTGCCAAAGACCAATAGCAACCAGTAGGAGAAATTTAAGAATGAAATCTAGGTCAGAGAAGGTTGTGATTCAAGACTGGACAAACTGATCTGAGAAAACCTAAAGTAATGGTACAATAGAGGAGATAAGATTACCAGAGACGGGGCCTGTCTTTGCATGACGTGCAAAGCCTGGAACATTCTCTATTTGTCCTTGTAGAGTTCACCAATCATGTCATCCTGCTTTAGTAAAACATTGCTCAATGAAGAGAGCTCATTTTAGAATCCATTGTGCACAGTAGCAATTAACACACACCTGTTGTTTTCAGGTTCAAGTTGTCTCTAGAAGTTTTAGACAGGTTCAGTCTTGCTGATACACATAAAACCTCGATACTAAATAATAACTATGGGGCCCAGCACAATGGCCTAGCAGCTAGAGTCCTCACCTTGCATGGGCTGGGATCTCATATGGGCTCTGGTTCTAATCCCGGCAGCCCTGCTTTCCATCCAGCTCCCTACCTGTGGCCTGGGAAAGCAGTAGAGGATGGCCCAAATCCTTGGGACCCTGCACCTGTGTAGGGGGTTCAGAAAAGGCTCCTGGCTCCTTTCAGAACGGCTTATCTCTGGCCGTCGCTGCCACATGGGGAGTAAGTCATTGGATAGAAGATCTCTGTCTCTCCTTCTCTCTGTATATCTGACCTTCCAATAAAAATAAATAAATCTTAAAAAAAAAAACCAAACAACTACGTTTTGAAAAACAAAAAGATGACTAAAGAAGGATAAGGGTTTTCAGGTCTCTGGAACACAGGAAGATATATCCACTTTTAGCTGCAGTTCTAAAAAAGGCTGCATAAAGAATGAAAACCACGCCTGAGAGATTCCAGGTCTGGCCTTACTGACATGGAAGAAGCCCGTCCTCAACCACCTGTTCTGATGCCACCAGGAAAAACAGACACCTGGAGAAGGTGCCAGTTAATCTGTTCCTAAGGCATTTATGGCTCTGGCTATGGATGCTAAGGTTTCCCAGCCCTATGTCCTACTTGGTCCCACTGCCAAGCAACCTCTTTGAGTTTGGTTTTACGGGAAAAGTTGAGAACCCAGGATAATGGAAGTATAGTCATGTTCTAGCTACTTACAGAGACAGTGGAGCTAGGAGTGTTAGTTCCATAGCCTGAAGAAGGCAAGGAGGCCAAAGACCAGCGCCGTCCATCAGTCCTACATAAGAAAACAAATATTAGTCAGTTTCTACAGGTTCCCACCCTGAGCCCAGGACCTGCACGGCTTTCCATCATCACTGTGGGACAGGGCAGTCGATTCACCGGTGGGCTAACCATTGTCTCCAGCCACCTCTCTCTTACATCAGGCCTACTGTTGTGTTTTCCACTGCAAAAAAAGACAGCTCTGACCACAAAGGAAGGCATGCCTTTAAATAATTACAATTGTTATCACTGTGGTTTTAGAAGCAACGAGAGAGGATTCCAGTTACAGGCACCATTACAATGACAGAACCGTTGCAGAACTGCAGCTATTTCCTTTAAGAAGTCGGAGAGTGAGAGAGGGGGTAGGAAGAAAAAAAAAAATGAGGACTAAATCTCCCAGGTCTTCTCCTTTGGAAGCACTTTCCCCAGTGGCACCAGCACTGAGCAGTTTTCCCTGCCATGTTCTGTAAGAGAGGGGCTCAGGGTTCCATGCCACATGCACATGACTCAAACTTCATGCCACCCCAGGCAACCAGCATGTGTAAATTCTAACTCTGCTGGAACCTAGTCTCACTGACAAAGAGACATCTAGGAGGGAGCTCCAACAAGATGTTCTTTCTTATCTCTATTAGGTCTTGGGAGCTCTACACAAGAAAACAAGTGAATTCTAAGAAAAAATGAGACAATGTATTTAGGGATGGATTTCCTGAACTCTGGTCAAATATACTTTATCACATGTGAGATTTTTTCCCTTCTTTAGAGAGAAATGGAAATCATCCACATGCCAGCTACTTTTCAATGAAGAGCAGAGGGCAGAATCAGGAAGAAATATGACAGGCAGTCTTCATTTGCTCTACTTGTCTGACTACCTCCCTGTGTGACCAAGGAAAGTTATCGAAATGAGGGTAAGCAACTCCTGCTTCCAAGTAGATAAACTCTGAGCCTTGGTTCCAGCAGAGCAGAGGGCCCCATAAGAGTCTGCTAAACAGGCAAGGCCCAGTATTCAGACCTACAATCAGAGAAGAATCATCTCGGCACACACAAAATCACAAACCATATTGTCTGGCCATGCATAGCAGTGTCCCAGCCCCTGTCCCCATCACATTTTTTACCTGTCTGCTCTGTGGCCATGGCTGTAGTGAAAAGACGTATGGTGCAGTGAGAACCATGGGGAACTGAAAGCACAATCTACCTGACCTCTCACCCATAGCCCGGCTTGGGAGAGGCAAACCTTTTGTGCAGCAGTGCAAACAACTTAGGAGCCACACTGTGGGACTGCTGGGCTTCTCTTCAGCATTTCACTAAAGCTGTGTATGTGTGTGATATTACTGACTAATCTGATCCTGTAAGGCTCCAGCCTGACCTAGGTAACCTAGCAACAGGTGCTTCATGATACTGTTTGGCAAGGTCAACGCACTCCTCCTGACCCCACCAGCAGTTTTTCTTACTTTGTTTTGGAAGAGGACAGTCCAGGGTCCCATGTCCCATGAAACCAAGATACATGTCAGGTCACTTGGCACACACCTGTTTGGGTGTTTAGTAAAACAAGGTCTCCTAATGCCCTAAAAGTTGGAGGACCCTGCTCCTGAGGCCCTGTCAATGAAGTAGATACGAGGGCATCAATGGAACCAGTTGTTCCCTTTGCCTGAAACAGTTCATACAGCAGTGTCCTCATGTCCAGTACAGCAGCTGCTTCCAAGCCTTCACAGAGGTCTCATGTGGCAGCCAGAGCAGAATCCTGGCCCCTTCTCGTATTTTTTTTCTCAGTCCCATGTCCTTTCCTCTTCGTGGTGCTTACTACTGTGCATTTCTGGCTTACTCATTTCTTGGTTGTCTCCCCAGTACTCGTCTGATCAATGGGCACCGACTCAGTGCTCATGATGTGCCAGGAGACATGGCTTTCCAGAGTGAAGCATCTCTATTAAAGAAGGCTTAATTATGACAGAGATGAGTTTAAAAAAAAACACAATTTGGAAAATATCAGCTATTGGTAGTTACTAATTTTAAAATAAAATTGACTAATTTCACAGAAACGAGAAAGAACTTTTTAGATGGTTAGAGAAGGCCACTCTGAAGAGGTAACATGAAGATGAGATATGAATGACAACAAGGAGTTAACAGCATTCCTTTACAAAGCGAACAACATGCATACAAATTCCATCAGGGTTTCAGTGGAAAGAAAGTAAGGACTGTGTCTGTTTTATTATCATGACATAATTAAACATCATCATGGTACCTTGCTCATACCTGGGGTTCAGCAAAGATTTACTGAATGAATTGAAAGTGATTCAGCGTCCTATGGGGATCTGGCCACAGGTCCTACTATCCCAGCCTACTGTTAGAGGTTACTAGTCACACATAGTTTGGACAGGAAGCTTGGCTGGAAACACAAACATGCCAATCCTATCTTGTCTTATATTAGAAGTCCTACCTGGATCCTTAGTTAACTAACTGGAAGTTATATAGGATAAGAGAAATGAGTCCATGGAACCAACCTGAATGAGATTTGTTTGAGTAAGGTAGTTGGGTCAGGCAGTATACCCAACTCAGCCGCCACAATTCTCTGGACAGGTGTTTGGTCTAGCACTTAAGCTACTGGTTCAGATGCCAGCATATCAGAGAGGAATGAATGCTTGGGTTTGAGTCTCAGCTCTACTCCTGGCAGCAGCTTCCTACTAACAGGCAGCCTGAAGGTAGATGATAATGGCACAAATGGTTAAGTTCCTGTCACTCATGTGGGAAATCCAAACGGAGTTTTCAGCTCCCAGCTTCAGTAGGGCCCAACTACCGCATTAGTGGATGGGAGCTTTGCTCGTCTGTTTCTCACCCTCTAGCAAATAAATTAAAAATAAAACAGACAAAATTTCTTCCAATCTGTCCAGGTCCTTTTCAGCTACAAAGAATTCTTCAGAGGTGGGGGTGATTTCTTCTGGGTTGTCACAGTGAGGAAATACTGTTGTTCATGGGAGCCTGTAGTTTTTAAGTATTAGAACTATTTTTGTTATAAGGTGTGTATTGTAATTTTCCATCCATTAATTGGTCTAAATCTGGAGCTAATGCTTTCCCCAAATCCTTAAGAAACCTTAAGAAACCAACGAATTTTTAGAAATTAAAAAAAAAAATTCAAATTCTTTCAATAAGGACTTACAAAAATGGATCAGTGTTGTAGTACAGTGAATTAAGCCACTGCTTGTGAGATCAACATCCCATATTGGAATACCAGCAAGTCTCAACTGCTTAGCTTCTGATCTAGCTCCTGGCTGATGTATCTAGGAAAGCAGTGAAAGAGAGCCCAAGCACGTGGGCCCCTGCCACCCAAGTAGGAGACACAGATGGAGTTTCAGGCACTTGGTTTCAACCTTTGCCAGCCTTGGCTATTTCAGACATTTGGGGAATAAACCAGGGGATGAAGTATATTCTCTCTCTCTAGTCATTCTGCCTTTCAAATAAATAAAACAAATCTTTACAAAGAGAGGGAGAGACAGTCTTAGAAAAAGGTTCAAAAGAAATTGTGTGGTTTGGATGGGCTCATCTCAGCTCCCATTTCTTCTGGCTATGGATGAAACTATCAGGTTGCTGCCATGGCCAGAGATTGGGAGAACAGAAATAGAGCAGGGATGTAAAGATGGGTCTGTATGCACTAGATTTTTTTAAACCCATGGGAAGAGAAAGGAAAGCCTAGCAGTCTTTACTCTTACACAAGGCTCTCTAGCTCAAGGCGGAGAAGAGAGGCATAGAAGGCCATGAGCCCAAGGAACTAGCTGCATTAGAAGAGTATTTTGAGTGTTCTTGGGAAGAAAAAGTATTTCTCATGCATATCTCTAGAATATTTCTCAATTAGAAAGTTTAATGTATTAGAACATACCCTCAGGATGGATTTGGGCTTGCTTAATAAAAATAAATCTATTAATTTATAACTAGTCTTTCATTTGGACACTCAAATACATGGGTAACCTAGAAAAGAAAACTTTAAAAAGATGATTATGACCTGGAAAAGGAAAGCAGAATGGGAGTTTTGGTGGTGGCAACATCCTTGACAGAACAATGACTTAAAAGGATGAATCTGACATTCAATCAAAATTCATGCAAGCGTTACATGTATCAGTCATACAGTTTTTCTACCAACTTACCTACGGGCAGGAACAAACGAAAAGTGAGCGGGTGCATTTGGAGAGAAATTTCGGGGGCTGTCCAGAGGACTGTTACCTGTGATGGAGAAAGGAAAAGACACTTCCGTGAAGGTTGCTTCTAAGGAAGGCTGACATGAATTCAGGCAAGAAATAATCCCTTAGCACTGGCAACTAGTGATTACAGTTATTTTCTCAGGTCTAAAATTAGCTTATTATTCTATCTTTGTCAAAATTTGGCACCTCAGGAGCTTTCTTCCAGGATGGCACTCTGGCATAACATGCTAAGCTGCTGCCTGCAGCACTGACAACCCAAATGGGTGTTGGTTCATGTCCCAGTGCTCCACTTTCCATCCAGTTCCTTGCTAATGTTCCTGGGAAAGCACTGGAAGACGATCCATGTACTTGGGCCCCTGACTAACATGGGAGACATGGAAAAAGCTCCTGGTTTCTGCCTGGCCCATTCCTCACTACTGTGGCCATTTGGGTAGTGAACCAGCAGATGGAAGATAACTTTCTTTCTCTATAAATCATCATTTCAAATTAAAATAATATCAAAAATAGAAAGTTTTTTCCCTTCCTTCAAAGTTACCCATAAAAATCCATGCTTCCCAGAAATCCAGTCAAGATCTGACAGCAATTTATCTATTTTCTGTCTGGCCAGGAACATCTCTGTTTCAAATATCAAGTTCATATCAGATTAACTCCATTTCCCAAAGGCTTACAGAGCTCAGTCAGTACAGATGGTACAGCCAGACATGCATTCACTTCAAAGGACAAAAGGACTCCTGCTCCAAAGCCCCTTGCACACTGCACCCAAGGGCTCAAACTAGAAATGTGGGTGCTTCACGGAGAACAGAGGCTCTCAGGATTAGCAGTGCTTCTTTCTTTTTTTTTTTCTTTTCTTTTTAAAGATTTATTTTTTATTGGAAAGCCAGATTTACAGAGAGAAGGAAAGACAGAAAGAAAGATGTTCCATCTACTGTTTACTCCCCAAGTGGCTGCAACAGGTGGAACTGAGTCAATACAAAGTCAGGAACCAGGAGCTTCTTCTGGTCTCCCAAGCAGGTGTAGGGTGCCAAAACCTTCCATTGCTTTCCCAGGCTGTAAGCATGAAACTGGCTAAGAAGCGGAGCAACTGGGACATAACCTGGCATCCTTGTGGGATTCTGACGCTTGTAGGCAAGTAATTAGCTAGTTAAGTCATTGCACTGATCCAAGAAATGTTTCTTAAAGTAGTTCAAACTCAAGATCCCCAAACTCAAGTGTGCAAAGTGTGGCCAACCTCCGCAAGTACAGGGATTACGATTACCTCTTTATTGGTTTTCATGTGATCCATATAAAGAGCTAGCTTAAAGTTCAGAATCTTTGAGCAAAACTGACCTTGTGTGAAAACAACAAGCTCTTGAACTCAAGCCTGCTGTATACTCTGAGGACCAGTTCTTACAGGTGGGCCCATGGATCCAGGCCAAGTGACCCAGGCCCTGCCAAACCCTCTGTCCACAGGGCTCACGGACTCAGCATCCACTGAGCAGATGAGCCCAAGTACCTCCTGCTACTGGGGCTCACGGATCCAGCACCCACCTTTCAGTTGGGTCCAAGGACTTGGGCCAGGCAATGCTGGAACCTCCACCTGTGAGGTTTAAAGACCCAGCACCCACTGTGCAGGTGGGCTCAAGGATCCAGGCCAGTGACCCTTGGGGTTCACAGATCCAGCGCCCAACCTGCAGAGGGGCAGAAGGTCCCAGGCCAGATGACACAGTCCCTGCCAGACTCCAGACCCCTAGAGCTCACAGAGCTGACACTCACCATGCAGGTGAGATCTTGAGCCAAGCGGCCAGGGCCCCACCATGACCCCTACCCCTGGGGCTTACAGATTCAGCACACAACTTGGAGGTGGGTTGAAGGAATTGGGCACTGGAGGAACCCGACCCTCAGGATTCACAGACCTGGCACGCCCCTCGTAGGTGGGCTCAAGGACCTGGGCCAAAAGATGCAGGCCACGCCACACCCCCAACCCTGGGGCTCACTGACACGACAACCACTGCACAGGCAAGTCCAAGGACTCGGGCCAGGCAACCCAGACCCCACTGGACCTCCCTCCCCCAGGGCTCATGGACCTCCCTCCCCCGGGGCTCATGGACCCAGCACTCACTGCCCCCAGACTGACATGCCTCATTTCACCTTGGCATCTACTGGCAGGTATTTCAGCCTGGCTTGGTCCAGCCTGCCTCCAGGTCCAGCTCCTGCTGGTGGGTGCTTCAGCCTAACTTAGTCCAGTTAGCACCCCATCCTGGTCCCAGTGTGAACTGGCTGGTGATGCAGCCTGACCTGGATCCTCTTGCACCCCATCCCAGTTCTCGGATCTGTCAGTGGATGTTATGAACTGGCCCAGCCTGGCCTGCCCCTTGACCTGACCCACATGATACTGGTGGGTATAATAACCTGGCCTAGTTTGGGCTGCTCCTTGCTTTGGTTCTTGCACTTATCTGCAGGGACTGTGTCCTGACAAAGGAATTTACCAAGCTCCTCTATCAAGTCCCCTCCCAGTGACAGATCTTGCACACACTGGTGGGTCCTTGGTCTAGGTTGACTTTGTCTACCTCTTGTCATGGTAGAAATAGTGTCTTTGCTTAACTGGCCCATACCTGATCTGGTTCTTACTGCTGGATGTTACAGACCAGCCACACCTGATCCATGCCCAGACATAGCTCTCATGTGTGGTTCAGCAGGAACACAAACACCTAGCACATCGTGTTCTACACCTACCCTGGCTCTCATGGATACCAGTGGGTGCTGAAGTCTAGCCCAGCCTGGCTCTCCCCAGACCCAGTCCACACAAATGCCAGGGTAGACTGCAGCCATGTCCAGTCCAGACAATGCCCCCATTCTGGGTATCCTGTTTGCCAGTAGGAACCTCAACCTAGCTGGGGCATTCCCTTCACTCCCCAACCAGGCCTGTTCCTAGCCACAGATCTTGCACATGCCAACAGAGTTCATGGGTAAGCCTACATAGTCCCCCACAGATTCTACCCCCACACCCAATTCACACATGTACTGGTCACTGTCATGGCTGAGCTTCACATTACCCATTCCCTGCTGTGATTCTTGCTGGTGTGTTCCATGATCTAGCCCTGCAAGTACAGTGGCCTTGTCAATGGAAGACCCCAGAAGTCATTCCTTATTGGACACAAACCTTTTCAGGTCTCTGCTTGCCCCAACCTGTGCCATCCCCCAGACTCCCTGCAACCCAACACCCCTAAGTGTTCATGACATGCTGCAAAGTGGCCTGAGGGCTTCGTTGGCGCTATCGGCACACAAGTTGCCTGGCCTGAGTTCTACCAGCAGGAAAAAATCCTGAGCCTCTGGCCCAGACTGGCTTGAGTTCTGCCCACTGCATGGCGGCAGTGAGTGGAGATAAAGTCCCAAGCCTCTAGCCTGCCCTGGGCCAAGTTCCTCCCATATTGACTCATTTTATGAGGGCATCATTAGATTGATACCAAAGCCAGGCAAAGGCATCAGAAAACACAGATTAATATTCCTCATACTTTATACAGATGCATCACACACTCATAAAATTTCCATAAATCAAATACAGAAATATGTTAAAAAGCTATTATACACAATCAAGTCAGAATACAAAATGGCTCGTAATCTGAAAATCAATTAGTGTGATTCACTATGAAGACTCCAGAAAAAGAATCTGAAACAAATCCAACAACTAGGGAAGGCCGATTGGTTTGGCTGATTGGTTATGATGGTGATTAAGGGCTGTAAGGGTTGTGAAGTAGCAGGTGAAAACATTACAAGTGATGCTGGAGTCCCATATGGATACCAGATCATTTCCCAGCTGCTCTACTTCCATTCCAGCACTCTGTTAATGTTGTGAGAAAAGCAGTCAAAGATGGCCAGGCGATTGAGCCTCTACACCTGGCCCCTGCACCTGTGTGAGAAACCAAGACAAAGCTTTTGGTATGGTCAATGGCTTACCTGCAGGGACTGTGGCCATCTGGGCCAGCGTGGCCATCTGGGAAGTGAGACAGTTAATGGAACAGCTCTCTGTTTAAAGACTTATTTATTTATTTATTTGGAAAGGCAGATCAGTTTTATGGAGAAATGGAGAGTCACAGAGAGAAATATTCCATCAACTGGTTCACTCCCTAAATGGCCACAATGGCTGGAGCTGAGCCAATTTGAAGCCAGGAGCCAGAGGCTGCTTGTGGGTCTCCCAGGTGGGTGCAGGGTCTCAAGGCTTTGGGTCATCCTTTACTGCTCTCCCAGGCCCTAAGCAGAGTTACATTGCAAGTGGAGTAGCTGACATACAAACTGGTGCCCATGTGTGATCCTGGGCATGCAAGGTAAGGATTTAGCTGCTGAGTGCTGGGTGCTCTCTCTCTCTGTAACTCTTTCCAATATGTAAAAAATAAAATCTTTAAACACACACACACACAAACACAGTCTGACTGAAGTCCACTTTGCCATCAAAATTCCCAAGAGAACACAATACTGCCAACTAACCAAAAGGGGGCCATTCCAGTCCTGTAGCACAACCAGGAACTTACACATAACCTGAACACAACCTCTTAACAAGAGGGTCAATTGGTGGGAACCTTTTTCTACCCTTGGATAAAGGAGCTTGGGATTCAAAACAATATCCCCGGCAATAAACATCTCATTTTTCCCTCTGGGTCACAAATTGGCTTACTATGTATCAGGCAAATGAACTCAGGTTTTGGGGATTCTGCAGTATGTCACCTACAATTTACAATAGTCCAGCATATGGCACTAATAAAGGCACCATACCTTACGTACAGTCTTCATTCTTAGTTTTGTATGATAAAAAGAAATGAGGGTAGGCATTTAGCACAACATTAGGACCTCACTTGGGATGTTAGGGTCCATATTGCAGTAGGTAGGTTCGAGGTCTGGCTCTATTCCTGGTTCCAGCTTCCTCTGAATGCACATTCTAAGCGGGAGCAGGTGACATCTCAAGTACTTGAGTCCCTGCCCATTACATGCGAGACCTGGAGTGAGCTCCCGGCTCCTGGCTTCAGCCTGAACAATTCACAGGTGTTCTGA